AAAAAAGGAAACAATCCAAATGTCCATCAACTGTTGAATGGATAAATAAATTGTGGTATGTCCATATAATGGAATACTACTCAAGTATAAAAAGGAATGAACTACATTATTGGTATGTGTAACAACATAGGTAAATCTCAAAAGCACAATGCTAAGTGAAAGAAGCCAGTCTCAAGAAACTACATATTACATTAATTTCATTTATTTAACTTTCTGGAAAAGGCAGAAAGCAGACAAAAATAAGATCAGTGGTTGCTGAGGGTGGGAGTGCGACTGGAGAGGGGCAAAAGGGAATGTTTGTTAAAATTGTCCTGTGTCCTATGGTGGTGGTAGACAACTGCATCTATTTGTCAAACTCACCAAAATGTATACTTTAAAAGGGTGAATTTATTGTATGTAAATTAGACTTTGATAAATCTGCCTGAAAACAAAAAGCAATGATAGATGGATGAACCTCAGAAACATGGTAGATGAAAGAAACCAGACTCAAAAGAGTATATACCATATGATTCCATTTATGTGAAATTCTAGAATAAGCAAAACGAATCTGTGGTGAAAGAAATAAGACTAGTTGTTGTCAGGGATGGGGGAAACGGCAGGATACTTACCAGGAAGCAGCACAAGGGGTCCTTTTGGGGTGATGGAAACATTCTGTGTGGGCTGATAGGCATGTGGGTTACATGGATATGTCCAATTATCAAGACTTGTCAAGTTGTACGCTTAGATCTAACTCTTTCATCATGTGTAAATTATTCCTCAAAAGGGAACAGAGAAGATTAAAGAGATTAAAGAGGAAGAAACTGGCTGGGCACAGTGGCTTGTGCCTGTAATTCCAGCACTTTGGAAGGCCAAGGAGGGTGGATCACCGAGGTCAGGAGTTTGAGACCTGCCTGGCCAACATGGTAAAACCCCATCTCTACTAAAAATACAAAAATTAGCCAGGCATGGTGGCAGGTGCCTGTAATGCCAGCTTCTTGGGAGGGTGAGGCAGGAGAATTGCTTGAACCTGGGAAGTAGAGATTGCAGTGAGCCGAGATCGCACCATTGCACTCTAGCCTGAGAGACAAGAGCAAAACTCCATCTCAGGAAAAAAAAAAAAAGAGAAAAAGACTAAAGAGAAAGATTAAAGACAAGAAAGAGTGATAGAGATTTGGTGATATCTTGTATTTGGGAGGTGGTAAGAGAGTGTTTCTAGTTTGAAGCCTGGTGGATGGGGTTACCATTCTCCAAGATGAAGAATAATAACAAACCAAACAGTTTTGGGGAAAGAAAACAAGGGCTCTTTTGTTGAGTGTTGAATACCTATGGAATATCCTAGTGAAGATGTCCAAAAGGCAATTTGAATTATGAATTTGGTGTCCTGGAGACACTTGGTTAAAGATGTGATCATCATATTAATTGTGGCCATGAGAATACATGAGATTGCCTAAGGAGAAAAGTAGAATTGAGAAGGAAGGAGACCTGAGAGTGTCACCCTGAGCAAACTTACCATTGAATATCTGGGTAGAAGAGAAGGAAGGAAAGGAGGAGTGGAAAGAGGAGAATCAGAAGAGAGCAGTGTCCTGGAACCCAAGGGAGAAGAAAGCTCCAATAAGTTAGGGGTGGTCATCAGTTTCAGATGTTTGAGCTTAGCAATAGGGTAGTCTTTGGTGATCATACTGAGAATTATCAGTTATTAGAGAGGGAGCAGAAGCAAATTCTTGAGGCTGGGAATGAGTAGGTATTAAGAAGTTCAGACTGCTAAGTGTAGATTGCTTTTTTAAGGACCCATATTAAAGAGGTAGGGAGCTAAGTTTGCTTTAGTTTGGCTAGGGGCTAAAGGAAATATTTCTTACTAAGAAAAATTGTCCTGGGGAAATGTTACATAGGGCGTAGCAATAGTCCTTTGAAAACACTTGCTCTTCTGTCGTGATAAAGACAACACAGAAAGAGGAGCTCTCAGAACTGGAAAAGCCAGCTCGCACCCATTCATGACAGGAGAGTTAGTGTATCTCATTGTGGATACTGAGTTTTTGAAATTCTCGTTACTGCTGCCAAAACACTCAACATTAAAAGATGAGGAAGTTGATTATGCTCAGCACAACCTACTCTTTACCTTTTAAAATCTTTAATGTCCGTAGAAAATACCAAATACCAATAGTAAGTTTAAAAGATTCTTATAAGGACTCTAGTAGCCTGCCGAGGACCCAAGTTATTTTTCTTAAGCTGAATTGATTGGGTTCAAAGAGGAAAACCTGATACAGAAGCTATCATTCCACCCCATTCCTCTCTCCTAATGCCAGCCTTTGAGGTGAGCTGGGTTTTGCACTATGTTATAATGCTGTCACATACCAATATATATTTCTTCTCCAACTCTTAAATGATAGTAGGTCCAAGCCTGGTATGTGTACAGATGTAGTTAGATTCGAGGCTTGATTTTTTTAGTTTGGATACCCTCTCCATAGAGGTTGTTTAGCAGTAACATGATTTAGTCATCCAAATGAAAATTAATTTAGCTTTGTGAAGGATGTTTTCTCTCTAGGTCATTTTTCCCCCTCATATTTCCCAGAATAGTGGTTCTCCGCCTGTCAACTGAGATTATTGGAATTTGCCTCTGATTTGGGGAAATGGTTAAGTAAACCTGTAGCTGCTTAATGCAAGATACTTAAATAGTGGGTTTCATTGATTGTTAATCTGATTCAAATTTGTCTTCATTTGTAGCTGATTCTGCAAACCTGATCAATATATGCATCAATCATTATTTTCACCCTGTTCTTCTTACTATTAATAATATTACCACTTTATGAAACAGTTGAATCCTGTGCTTCAGCTTTTAAACAATGAAGAGAGTACTCTTTTTCTTCAATCAAATGTTGTGTTCTCTCGCTTATATAAAATGTTAAAGTGAACTTGTAGATTTTGCAAGTAGATTTTTCCTTTTAAATGCCTTATTTAGTGCTATATCACAAATGATTTTTCTCAGGTTAAAGGGCAATATTCTACAAGATTACTGAAGATTACATCGGCTATTCAGAAGAATGTATTAGCCGTTAAAAGCTATGAATTCTATGAAAAGAAGATAGGTGAAATAGCTTCCTTTTCTTTATATTTTAAACTATAGGTAATATATAAATTTTGTATAGTTACTTGAAGGTGATCCCATCTCAAACTCTTGTATAGTTTGTGATGATTTTTGCAAATTAAATGGAATCCCGTATAATTACTATGGAAGCCAATTCATTCATGGTAACTTTTCCCTAGAGGATTTAGAATATGCATGTCTAACTGAGTTCATACTGCCATATATATGTAAATAGCATCCAGATATTGACAAACAGTGATTAATAAAGAAGCTAAAGGAAACCAAAGGATGCTAACAAAATCTCAGAAAGAGAAATGATTTCTCCAAGTTCCACAGTGTAGAATCATGGGGACAACTAAGGTCTCTAGATTCCCATTCTAGGATTCTTTTTTTTTTTTTTTCACCCAGGCTGGAGTGCAGTGGCGGGATCTTGGCTCATTTCAACCTCCGCCTTCCGGTTGTAAGCGATTCTCCTGCCTCAGCCTCCCGAGTAGCTGGGATTACAGGCGCCCGCCACTACGCCCAGCTAATTTTTGTATTTTTAGTAGAGACAGGGTTTCACCATGTTGGCCAGGGTGGTCTTGAACTCCTGACCTCATGATCTGCCCACCTCAGCCTACCAAAGTGCTGGGATTATAGGCATGAGCCACCATGCCCGGCCTTACTCTAGGATTCTTAATACATCATGTAACTTCAGACTTCCTGTGTTCTAGAAGACAGTTTTGGGAGCCATCTTTTTAGAGTCTATTTTTTTGTTTTCTGAGAGTATTGATAAATTTAAAAATCCTTCTTGAAGCAAGGAAATTTGTATCAGAATTAATTTCCGGAAAATACCTGGTTGTGTTCTGTGGGTGTGAGCTCAGGTCTGTGACCTCTGATCAAACAGTAAGGAAGGTAGTGTGGTAGTGTTTACTTCTAGAGAAAAAATATAAGCAGCGTTTCTGAGGGTCACAGGATGGGATGTTTAGGAGTGATGTTTTATATATATATATATATATAAATATACACATATACATACACATACACACACACACACAAAGGACTGTACCGTTATTTTTGTAGAGAAAGTCTCACTAATAATATGAAGGGTTCCAAAGTTAACCTCTCATCCCTGAACTTGTTAAATGAAACCAGGCATTGTGGAAAGAAAACTTGCTTCTGGGTCTTGCTTTCTCTTTGCAACAGTTGGGAAGGTAAAGAAAGAGAATCAATACAGAATCCAAAAACTTGATCTCTGGCTCCCACCCTTCTTAAATAATATCAGTGGTGCAAGATATCTTGTCGCACCTGTGCTCTGCCACCACTGGCTTTCTCTTTTCTTGTCTGTCCTTCGGTTCATGTTGGGCCAGTGTGTTTTATTTTCTGTCTTCAAAGGGAAATTGAAACTGTAGGAGAGGGGAAAGAATAAATACATTTAAATGTCTTCCTGACCTAGGTTGCAAAAGCCATATCTTGGTTTAAGAAAATGTGATGGAAGGATTCTAGAGAAATGCCTTCAGGAGAAGTTTCTGTTTTCAAACTTGGCAGAGAGGGGCTGGGGGGCGGGAAATTCAGAGCAGGCCTAAAGCAGCGTTGGTATTGGTTGTGCTTGTTTCATTCCTCCCCACCCACCCTTTTTTTTGTGCCCATAAGCACAGCAGAATCCTGCTTGTTAACTATTCTAGAGTCAGGTTGCTTTCTGTGTAGGATTTAGGAACATCAATAGACAGTGCATGATAAAAACAGTGGAATTTTATAGCATTGTTTTCTTATTCCTAGAGCTTGATTAATTTCTCTTGAACTTGAGAGATTCTTGAAAGATTCTCTGCTTCTACTTCTACTCACTACTTATACTTAGTGAGTTTCTAGGCCTGGGAGTTATGAGATTGAGTCTTCTAGGTCTTTGTGTGGTTGTGGCATGGAAAATGATCTTGTATATTGTGTTGTGTTGTATTTCTAGAACTCTATGGCTTTGACGTGCTCATAGATGCTACTCTGAAGCCATGGTTGTTGGAAGTGAATCTCTCTCCTTCTTTGGCTTGGTAAGTCAGTTCCATCAACTAGAAAAGGACAAATCTTCAAGTAGTACTTAAAGCACTTTTTTTTTTTTTTTTTGGATCATTTCTTTTGGCACTAGAAGACTGTTTTTTTCCTAGTTATTAGATAGAGATAACCAGACGTTCTTAAATTAACTGGTTTATGGCATAATATCAAAGTGCATATGACAACCATAAATCTCTGTCTTCCTAGTCAATTTACAATTATTTGATTCCTGTTTATTAGGTTTCTAAGGGATGATTCTTGCATTCAGTTTTATCCCTGTATTTTTTTAAACAGTAAGTCTTCTATTAAGGGTCAAGAAATACATAAGATATTATATTTCCTTCATTACCAAAAGTTTTACAGGTTCAAATCCACATATACTATAAAGGTATAAACCTGGATCTAGGGCCATGTGGATAATATGTGGTCCTTTTACCCTGTCCCATGTTTAAAGTCATCCAAGTTTAAAGTCAAAAACTTCAAAACAACTTAAAAAAATTTTTTTTTACTAACCTGTTGTTTACAAGAAGAAAATAAACGTATTTTTCAATACCAGGGAAGATTCTTATTATATTTGCAGCTACAGCCAGAATTTCTGTTCGCTGTACACTTCTCTAAACAGAGAACTCTAGAGATTTATGCCAAAGACCACCCAGCTGCTGCGTTTTTAAGGATGAGAGATATTGGCAAAATGCCAAGGAATCAAATAAAGACAGATTGACTACTTTTAGAGTGAGAGTTTGGCTTAACTTCCATAGTAAGGTGTAGAGCTAGATATTACAGATGCTTCAGATGTTACGCAGCTTTCGTCAAGTCAGCCTTTTGCAGGTTGTCCAGTAAAGTATATTATACTATCCTTTAGAAGTTAGAAATCCCCAGAATGAGGCACTGAGTAGCAGCCAGAGCAGTTTGGTTCGTGGAAGAACACCTCAGCACTGAAGCCACTGTGGCCATCACCGCCACAGGGAGGCCTCTTGCGTTTGGTCACTGTTGTTTTTGTTTTCATGTGGGTTTCCCCCCATCTGGTGAGATTTTGGTATAACTTGTATTTTTTTTTTTTTTTTGCCCTATATGCAAGCCTGCAAGCCTAAGAAGATTGTTTTAGAGCAGACAATAAAGACTTTAAAAAGTACCAATGTGGCTAGAGTTGCTTCTCTTGCATGTGAATGTGACTTGACTGTTGCAGCAGCAAAAAGTAATTTGAATGGTGGTGGGCACACTCATAAAAGAGCATACTGAAAATCTGAACCTCTGAAATCCACAGTTTTAACGAAGCAGTATTCTTGACTTGCGCAAAATTTGAATTGCACAAGACCTTCTGGTATAAAGAAAGTTGCGTGTTAGAGAATCAATGGATGGTGCTGCGTTTGCATTAGAGAGGACAAATTTAACACCAGGATTTCATTTCTCATATTTTTGCCCAGAATTTTTCCCCCACCCCAACCCATGTATTTTATGGGCTTTATATGTTGCTCTTCATTGACATTTGGAAACTTTGCTATATTGGGACCCATTAGAGGGCGGCTATTCTGTTAACCTACACACTTATCAATTGCTCTTTTCTTTCTCTGTTCTGTTAGTGATGCACCTCTGGACCTAAAGATTAAAGCCAGTATGATTTCAGATATGTTCACTGTTGTAGGTGAGTAGTAGTATTTTCTGAACTGGACTCACATAAAAATTAACTAGAGTGTCCATTTTGTCAGACTCCGTAGGTTTTGCCAACTGGCAATTCCTAAGCCATGCTGAATGGTTTGTCTTAAAAAATTATATTTTCAGGGAAATGTTTTTATGTTTCTATGCCCTTTGGCTCCATCCTGTCCTGAGGCTGAACCACAACTAAGGCTGAGACTTGGGGCACAGGAATTAGGAGCTGAGGAAGAGAATTAGCAAAGATCTGGAGAAGGTGTATTTCTCTCCAAGCTGGGAAAGTAAAACCCACTGAAGAAGCCTTGTTACAAAGGAGACTGGCTATATTTCTGCTAGACAGTCTCTACTGGTCTCTGTGTGATCCCTTCTGTAGTAGTTATAACCAAAGCAGCCCAAAGAAGAAATCTCATTTTAAGTAGATAAGCCAAAACTTTGAAGTGGAGATGGGCAGTCAGGTGGGTATTTTGTGGGCTTGTTGGTTTTTTTTTAGGTACTATAAAAAGATATAATAAAATAAATTTGAGATAAACTAGTACCTGATGTACCCACAAATGCTTTAAAACTTAGCTACTCTATTTTCCCTGGATGAGAATCTGCTTCTTTTTAGGAAGTAAGTGAAATTAGCTGAAGTCCAATTTCCAAAGCCATAGATAATCTACAAAGCCCATTTTGAAAGTTGCCAATAGACCACCTTCTGCAGTTCCAGAAGTAGATCATGTAACAGGACATGGCTGTTCACTTGCTTTCATAAAAATAACTTTATTTTCCAGTCATCATCCAGGTAGCCACTTTAAAGTAACTTGCTTTTATTAACAACTGTGTGTTTCAAAATGGTGATTTGCAGTTATTCTTAGGTTCATCAAAAATCTGCATCTCTTTCTCACTCAGAATCACATTTCAGCTACCCAACCAGCAAGGTTCATTCATCTGCATATCTCCCTTTTCTTGTCTCTAGTTATGGTGGTTCAGAGTTGAAGCAGAGTGTATGTGGGAGAATTGTGCATTATCCTCCTGAGGATAGATCTCTGATATTTATGACAGTGAAACTGAGTTTGCATATCTAAAGAAAAGGTGCAGCCAGACCTGCTAATTTCTTAGAAAATGGCAGGTTTTAATGTTGCCCATTCCCCATTCAGGATTTGTGTGCCAAGATCCTGCCCAGCGGGCATCAACCCGGCCAATTTATCCCACCTTTGAGTCTTCCAGGCGAAACCCTTTCCAGAAACCTCAGGTAAGCCAATTCTGCAGGAGGGAGCCTGAAGGAGGCTTACTGGGAAGTGGCAGCTGATGTAACTCAGGGAACGGAAAGCACTGTGGGTATGAGGTCACTTAGAGCAGGAGAATTTGGGGATCACTCTAGACAGGAGGCAGTTATATTCAGCTGTGACTAATAGCTTATGCTTTCAACATTTTCCAACAAACTTACTCCCTGTTTTTTGTTTTGTCTTTTCTCTTGGCTTCTTTTTTCATTATCTTCCTTTCTGTTTTTAAAAATCACCCTTTCTTCCACCTCAGATTGATATGCTCAGAAACAAGGCACAGAGAAGGAGCCTATTAATTCTTAGTCATTACTGCGTTCTTTCTGGTCTTCGGACTAGCTTTGTAAAGAAGATGCTTTCTTGAAATAGTATCTTCTCTACAAGTAATTCTCCTCAAAGGACCCTCCATGATCATGAGTTATTGATTGAGGCTAAGTGAGGTAAAAGCCCAAAGAAACTTATACTTGTCTAAAATATCATTAATCAAGCATTGCTTCATTCTTTGTGTACTCTGCATTTTTGTTCCAGTTAAACCAATCAGCTAATCCTTCCATTTACTCATTCCATCATCTCGTCAGTCCCTGCCTGTTTTGACCCTGCTAATTTCCCACTTTTGTTTCTTGGCCTTTAACATTTCTTCTTATTTAAAAAAAAAAATCCACTTTGCTCTTCTATTCCCCTCTGGTTTGATTGCTTTGCCTGCTCAGACATTTTGGAAATCTTTTCTTATTAAATCCATCATGACCTTTACTTTTCATTTTAACATTTATTTACCTCTTCTATACTACATTGTTTTGCATTCATTGATTTGTTGCTTTTAAATTGTTCTGTACTCTCCTGCCAGATTGTAGACTCTTTGAAGGCATAAGCAGCTTTTTCTTCCTACTCCCCATTTTCTCTTTCTTTTTCTTCTCCTCTCCTTTTATCTCTGCCCCAAATCCACCTTAACCCTTTACTCCTCACTTTTTTCCTCCCTTCTTCCACTCCCATTCCTCCTCTTGTTCCTTTTGCTAGCTAGTCTTATTTGGAGTAGTGCTATTTTCTGTTTGCCAAACTCATATGCTATTATTTATTCAGATAATTTTTTATTAGAACAGGGTTTTCAAACTCAAGTGCCTAGAGGGCCTGCAGGCAGGTAATATAAATGAGTAAATAGAGGCAGGTGTAAAACAGCTAAGAGTGATATGACTGAGGTGAACTGGAGCGGGCATACCTTATCTGAAAGGTGTGTCTGTTTTACTGATGTGCTCTAGCTAATTACTGTCATGCATAAGTGTGGGCCAGGTGTTATGAGATCTTCCTATTGTCAAGAGAAATCAGAAATCTTACTTTTAAATATTGGCAGCCACTTCATTAGCAACAATACTTTGCAGGCCAAGCATAACATGTCTTTGAGCTAGATTCAGTCTTTGCCTATCTATGACCCCGTGCTGTAGAATTATTCCCTAATTAATGTTGGGATGTGGAACAGAGTGTACTGTATTTTAAAGGCTATTATCTTGGATTAGATATAAAATCACTTACCAGGGTTGTACTTGATCAGTGCATCATCACAGATCAAAAGGTTTTCTTTAATTTTTAATAAGGAAAAGTAGAGGATTAACCTAGGTATACTAGGAAAACTTAATTTAGGCAGTCACATTCCTTTGCAAATTGTTTCCTGCAGTATCTGTGGCAGGAACCACAGGATTATGTGTAAAGGATCATGAACATTTCTGTGCAGCTTTAACATAGTTTCTGCCAGGTTTCACTTCTAGAGGTAGTGTATTGCCAATCTTGGATGAATTGATCCCTTTTCTTAGTTTGCCTGTCAGCTTTATTGGCAACTCTTTGCAAACTCAAGAAAATCTATTCAATGTTTGTTTTGCCAACTGGTAGGTAATGGCATGATTTCATCCATAAGCAGCCTACAGGACACTTATATAAAGCCTAAAGGAACTGTAGATTAGTTATGTGTACTGTGTGAAACCAGTTTGTCAGGTGGACTAGTTGACTTCAGGATCTTCAGTATCTGGCAGTAGGATTGTGCCCTCAGTGGTTAGAAGTTGAAGCTGGAATATATATGGCATAGGAGAAAGCAGTGTGAAAGATAATAAATGTTCTAACCTTCCAACTACAAAGTGTAGGGCTCTTGCTTTTAGTTTCTGCTTGGAGATTATTTTTTCCTTTTTTATATCATAGATCTATGAGATGGAAAATGTAGGCATATTAGGAGAAGATAAGGGTTTATTCCATTTTTCTGTGTTTTATAGCGTCCAGTATCTGCACAGTTTCAGTCATCAAAGGCCAAGCAGGTAAGTTCTAGATCTTTTGGAAACTTCATTCAAATTTTATTTTCATTCTCCAAATGGAAAGTTTTTTAGCTTTAGTTTTTCATGGTACATATTTTTATGTACCTATTTTTTTGCGCAGTTTATTAACAAAATAAATGAAAATAAATGCATAGAAGTCTTTTTGGTTATAGAATATAAGAGTAGAGGATACAGGAACTTAGGGATCCTCTTTTCCTGATAGTGATTATACCGAGATGGAGGCTGTTGAATTTAAATGATGAACAGGTGCTTAAAGGCATATCTATCACTTTGACCAAAATATTCCAGGAAGGAAAATTTCCAGCTCACAAATGAACTTCATTTTTTTTTATCAGACATTTTACGAAACATACTGTTGTCTATAGCTTAATACTGGAAATGTTTTCACATTGGGTATTGGGTTGTATTTGCGTTCCTTAACAGGTGACATTTCAAATATGTAGTGATTTGCGGTTTATAAATCTTAGAAGCTCTGCCACAATAGTGTCTCAGATGCTACCTTTGAAATACAAACATCTTTCTTTCTGAATGATCAGCATTTGCTTTCTTTCTGTTTTTGTTAGCAGTGTTTGAGATTAACCATTGCTTTCTTCTGCACAGATTTTAAAAATTCTTTTTGAAGTAATAGGCTAGCAGTGGGGGTCCTGTGCCTGCTATTTGATGTTTTAGTATGAGGGATATAGATATTCTCATATATAAATATGTCACTGCAACTATTGTTTAGCAAAAAGCTCCAATATATTTATTTTGGCATTTGTACTCTCTGATGCAATTTCTGGTAAGCTTGAATGCTTGACTTGTAACTTTCTTAGCTACTGTTTCTGATAAAGGGATTTATATGGTTTATGTGAATCCAAGAAATGAAAAATAACTTACTGGATGCCTTGTCTAATATTTAGTAACTGATTAATGTTGTTCTGTAGTATGAGTTTTGGTGCTTAGTTGGTAGAATTCAAAACTTTATAATATGTAGTGTTTTATATTTAGTAAATACCTAAGTATGCTAGCTGCTCCCATGGCAAAAAACAACAAAATAAGGCTGTTGACTCCAAAGAGCTTATATTCTAAATATACCTGGAACTAATGTACTGAAAGGAGTACGTTAGGAAAGGAGTACTCTTTCATAGCCTGTGGCATTTGGCTCTAAAGAAGTGTTTTTGATATGTAATTCTAATTTATTTTTACTTGTTTATGTGAGACAGGGTGTCACTCCATCACCCAGGCTGGAGTGCAGTGACGCGGTCACAGCTCACTACAGCCTGGACTTCCTGGGCTCAGGTGATCCTCCCACCTCAGCCTCCTGAGTAGCTAGGACTATAGGTGCACACCACCACACCTGGCTAATTTTTTGTATTTTTGATAGAGATGAGGGTTTCGAATGGTTACCCAAGTTGGTCTGGAACTCCTGAGCTCAAGCGATCTGCCCGCCTCGGCCCTCCCAAAGTGCTGGGATTGCAGACATGAGCCACCATGCCCAGCCTTTGATATGTAATTCTAATCTTAATTTCTCATTATCAATTTTAATTCCATTACATCTAGTTGCATTGCTTGAATTCCCATAGGTTGTAATAGGCTTGTTGGAGAGCAAGACCTCTCTTTAATAGTGATGTATTTGAACACTTGCTTACACGACATCAAGCCTTTCTGGCTTTAGTCAGCCAGCTTTATACAAGTTGAATTCTTTGACTTTTATTGTTCTTTGCAATGTTCTATTTTGTCATTGTCTTTCTGTTAACGAAGCACTCTTAACTTCACAGGTATTTTCATGGGAGTTAAGTAAAAAAAAAAAAAGTCTCTGTTCTGACTTTTTTGACTCTGTTTTTGACTGTATCAAGCTTTCTTTTTCTGTTGCTGTCAGATTGTGAATTCTCTTAGTTTTTGCCCTTTTTCTGCCTTTTCCTTTTTAAACCATTATCTCTATATTTCTCCTTTCTCTTTAATGTCCATGGTTCAAATTTTTCACTCACCAGAAATTGTATTGCATGGTACTGTGGAAAGAATATGGACTTTTACAGTCAGATAGACCTGGATTCAAATTTTAGCTCTGCCAAAAACTAGCAATTAGACCTTTGGGCAAGTTCTCTTACCTCTCCGAGGCTCAATTCCCACATCTGTTATGTGGGGATAATAATATATACATGAAGTTCTGGTGAGAAAGAAATGATAAAATAGAGGTAAAATATTCAGGATAAGTGCTAGACATGTAGTTTATACTAAGAAGATTTACTCCCCTTCACACTTTTGAGTCTTGATTTTCCCATTGTCACGATCTCTTGTTATTTTGATATTCACCTGTTTGTAGTCATGTTTTTCACATTTGCCATCATCCACAAATGTTCTTTTGTTTGATTCACTGCTATTTATCTTACAGTTACACTGTTTTCAGTTTTTGTTGATGTGTTATATTCTGGCACTAACCCCCAACTGGAAATATAATTTAGAATAAAAATTGTATGAAATTTTCTCAAATGCTTCTCTAAAATCCAAAGACATTTAATATATTGCTATAGTTCCCCTTTTAAAAATCTTGTCCTAAAAATCAAACTTTTAAAGCATGTTTTAAAGTAAAGCATTCTCCATACTATTCTTCATAAGCCCATAATCCTCTAAATTATTAGGGATTTTTTGCTTTTAATATTTGTTCCATTATTTTACTAGGGATTCAAGTTAGATTTACCAGGCAGCAACCACCAGGAGCAAATTTCTTACATTTTTGAAAATTAGTACCTCATTTGGTTTTTTTCTAATCTGGTGCCTCCTCAGTTCTTCACAATTTTTCAGACATAATTATAAGTGGTTTTGGTAAGTTTTGTTTGTTTTTAAAGCCGATTTCCTTAATAACACAATGCATGTCTCTCAGATCTGCTGGCTTACATTTATTCCAAATTTCTAGATGTTGCATATCTCTTTTTATTTTATTTTATTTTTTACTGTTACACAAGCCTACTTACTTTCTCCCTTCCACCCGCCAGTTTCGAAGTATACCCTGATTATCAATATGTTTAAACCTTCTCTCAGAAACCATTTTTTTTGGTCCATTTCCACTCAGATTTATTGATAATGTAGTCTTTTCCATTTGTTTTCTTTCATTTGATAGCATTCATTTTGCTTTTAAATTTGATTTTACGTTTTGTTTTTTAGATGGTAAAATGTATCACATATAAATTGAGCTATTTCTAGTTCCTTTGCTTTTAATGAAGAATTCCAAACTTTGTAAAACTGCATTGGGAGATTTTTATTCTTTGCATGTGTTCTCTGTCAAGCAAATTTTATTTTTGCCCCTCAATTATGATATATTCTTAGGATATCTTGCCATTTTTCCCCATTCCACATTTTGTTAAGTTCTTCTCATCACTGGTACTTGCCAGCTTTTTTTAGGCTGAGAGTCATTTTCTGATTCAACATCTGTTTCTTACTTCTTTGATTGAGTGGAGACTGGTGGTTCCTTGTCTCAGTAATTTCACATTTTCAGCCAGTTGTTCCTTAGCAATGACGGTTAGATATGTAAGATTTCTTCTCTGGGAAGATTTCTGAATCGTAAGTTGTAGTATTGATAAATTTATCTTTGGTGCATGTTGCATGGCAGAATTCTTAACTTGACAGTAATTTGACAGTTTATAATTTATCTGAGCACTGGATATCTAAATCATGTATCTTTTAGCCAGAGGCAATGGTTCTCCTCTCTAAGTTCAGAGGACCCTTATTTCCTTAGTACATTCAGTCAACTCATGGAAATGTGTGGATTTATTATATCTACCACTCAGAGAATGTAGTTGATATGCCCAAAGGCAAAACTGCAGAAAGACTTGCATTTGGACTGTTTTGCCTTGTTTTTGATAGTCTTGATGGCCTTTCAAATCAGTCTGATTCCTTTTTTTTTTTTTTACCTTTGCTTTGTTTTTAATCTCCAAGTATGTCTCCTCAACACTCATAAGCATTTATTTTCTTTTTTTCTGTCCACCTTATCCTTTCTTCTTCTCTTCTCTCTTTCTCTGCCTTTTCTTTCATCTGTGTCTGTAATTCAGGTCACAGAATTATACACCTTTCTCAGAGTGGTTAAATACCCCAACTAGAAGCACAGACCTGAATTCCTATGTGCCTCTACCCGACCCCAAACAGTTCACAAATATGTACGCAGTAGCTAGACCTGGAATTGTAGGCTGTAACAAAGGAGTGGTTGTGAATGTATATGGGAGACAACTCTTTGAAAGTGATTGGCAGAGAAGTTTTAAGAGTTTTGGGGTGCTAATTCATTGGTTAGAGAAACCACATTAGGTTAGTAGGAGAAGGTTGCCACATCATTATCTCAATTTCTAGAAGCCAGGAATATTAAAAAACCATTAAAAACAATATCCAGGAATTGGAGGTTCTCATTAGGTGTTATTCAATAGTGATTCGAACCCTGTTCTTTTAAATACAGCCAGGCATTTCTTAATCTGTTTAATAGTTAATAACTTTTTCTTTAAATACTTTTAATTAAACTTTGATATAGTTTTCAGTTTATTAACCTTCTAAGTAACATTCTTTCTGTTCTTAAATGCTTAATAAAAATACCTATTTTTATCATATCATTTACATGAATGCTTATTTCTTACACTCTCTTTACATAATTTGAGATTTGAGGCCCTTAGATAGTGTCATGTAAGAAAGCTACTTAACTTTAGAGGACAACTGCCAGTGGCTTTATTGTTTTTTTTTGTTTTGTTTGTTTGTTTTTTGAGACAGAGTTTTGCTTTTGTCACCCAGGCTGGAGTGCAATGGGGCAGTCTTGGCTCACTGCAACCTCCGCCTCCAGGGTCCAAGCGATTCTCTTGCCTCAGCCTCTTACGTAGTTGAGACCACAGGCATGTGCCACCACGCCCATCTAATTTTGTATTTTGAGTAGAGACGAGGTTTCACCATGTTGGCCATGATTGGTCTTGAACTCCTGAACTCAGGTGATCCACCCGTCTTGGCCTCCCAAAGTGCTGGGATTACAGGTGTGAGCCACAGCACTAGGCTTTGCCAGTGGCTTTATGATCGGAGAGGCTGTCATGTGTGAACTAGATAAGTATTTTTTGGCAAACAATAAATCTCATGTGTGGTCACGAGAAAAGTCCTTAAACTATCCATTTAATATTTTTGGCTTTTCCAAATTATACATTAAATAAACATTCACACTTTTCAAAGATTTATAAACAGTGGTTATATTATTTATATTTGTTTCCTTCCTAAATCTTTCAACTTTCCCCTATAAACCCTCTCATTTTAACATCTACTGTTTAATGTATTCCCAGAGATTGAGTAAGTAAAAATATTTCCCGAAATCCTTCTGCAAAGTTTACTTCTAGCTGTGATTGATGTCAGCACTTTCACTTATTTGTTTGTTCAACCAATATTTCTTGATTGACTTCATGCCAAGTACAGTATATTGTTCTGGATGTTGAAGATACCACAGTAAAAGCCCCTGCACTTCACATGTTGCTTACATCTGTTGATTTCATGGTTTTCTTGATATAGGTATCCATCATGTAGTTGCCAATCAGAAAAGTTAGCTTTTATAACTCCCATGGTAGCTTTGGAGATTGGTTAGTTGGTCTCTCTTGTGTCCAAAGATAAAACCATCCATGGTTGGTTATTCGTGTACATGAATATATTAGTCTGCTCAGGCTGCCATAACAAAATACCATAGACTGGGTGGCTTAAACAACAGAAATTTATTTCTCACAGTCTGAAGGCTGAGAAATCCAAGATCAAGGTGGGGCAAGGTAGGCTTCATTCTAAGGCTTTTTTCTGTTAGCTTGTAGGTCTCTATTTTGTTGTATGCTCACATGGCCTCTTCTTTGTACATACACTGGCTGGAGTTGCCCAGGCTGGAGTGCAGTGGCGTGATCTCAGCTGACTGCACGCTCCGCCTCCTGGGTTCACACCATTCTCCTGCCTCAGCCTCCCGAGTAGCTGGGACTACAGCCACCTGCCACCATACCCAGCTAATTTTTTGTATTTTTAGTAGAGGCGGGGTTTCACCATGTTAGCTAGGATGGTCTTGATCTCCTGACCTCGTGATCCGCCCACCTTGGCCTCCCAAATTACTGGGATTACAGGCATGAGCCACCGCGCCTGGCCACCATCTCATAAGGACACTAATCCCATTACACCAGGGCCCCACTCTCACGACTTCATCTGACTTTAATTACCTTCCAAAAGCCCCGTCTCCAAATGCTATCACATTGGAGGTTAGGACTTCAACATGAGAATTTTTGAGAGAAACCAACATTCAGTCCATAACAACGGGTGTTGCTAAAAAGGCCAAAAGTTAGTTACCAAAATGCCTTTGAATAGATATTCTACAAATAGAGAAAGACAAATAATACCTGGTGACAATGGGGCTGCTGCTCTCTGGTTGAAGTTACTTCTAAGAATCAGGAGGACAATTTGCACCCATAGTGGGCGAATTCTTTCTTACTCTTTCTACTTGGCAGATTTGTCTTATTTTTGTCTGTCACGTCATCTATTTCAATAATAGTGTATTATCATGCTTTTATGCTGACTTCCTTTTTTACCTTCCTATTTCTCCACTCGCATAAAATCAAAATCACTTAAAACTTGTGTTTTCAGATGACCTCCCTCATCATCATGTAGAAGCTAAAATAGCTGAGATCCTCTTCTGGGATCAGTGATGAACAGGGCCCATTTGGCTGCCTTCTTGGAGTACCCAGGGTAGTCACCCTTATTCCAGACCTCTTGAAGTCCAGCAACCACAGTGATAGCCTTTTGGCCACAGCTCTTTTCTGTGTCACTGATGACTCTCATCTCAATATTTCCCCCACAAATTGTAAAACATTTCACAGCCCCCCATGGTAGCTTTGGAGATTGGTTAGTTGGTCTCTCTTGTGTCCAAAGATAAAACCATCCATGGTTGGTTATTCGTGTACATGAATATATTAGTCTGCTCAGGCTGCCATAACAAAATACCATAGACTGGGTGGCTTAAACAACAGAAATTTATTTCTCACAGTCTGAAGGCTGAGAAATCCAAGATCAAGGTGGGGCAAGGTAGGCTTCATTCTAAGGCTTTTTTCTGTTAGCTTGTAGGTCTCTATTTTGTTGTATGCTCACATGGCCTCTTCTTTGTACATACACTGGCTGGAGTTGCCCAGGCTGGAGTGCAGTGGCGTGATCTCAGCTGACTGCACGCTCCGCCTCCTGGGTTCACACCATTCTCCTGCCTCAGCCTCCCGAGTAGCTGGGACTACAGCCACCTGCCACCATACCCAGCTAATTTTTTGTATTTTTAGTAGAGGCGGGGTTTCACCATGTTAGCTAGGATGGTCTTGATCTCCTGACCTCGTGATCCGCCCACCTTGGCCTCCCAAATTACTGGGATTACAGGCATGAGCCACCGCGCCTGGCCACCATCTCATAAGGACACTAATCCCATTACACCAGGGCCCCACTCTCACGACTTCATCTGACTTTAATTACCTTCCAAAAGCCCCGTCTCCAAATGCTATCACATTGGAGGTTAGGACTTCAACATGAGAATTTTTGAGAGAAACCAACATTCAGTCCATAACAACGGGTGTTGCTAAAAGGCCAAAAGTTAGTTACCAAAATGCCTTTGAATAGATATTCTACAAATAGAGAAAGACAAATAATACCTGGTGACAATGGGGCTGCTGCTCTCTGGTTGAAGTTACTTCTAAGAATCAGGAGGACAATTTGCACCCATAGTGGGCGAATTCTTTCTTACTCTTTCTACTTGGCAGATTTGTCTTATTTTTGTCTGTCACGTCATCTATTTCAATAATAGTGTATTATCATGCTTTTATGCTGACTTCCTTTTTTACCTTCCTATTTCTCCACTCGCATAAAATCAAAATCACTTAAAACTTGTGTTTTCAGATGACCTCCCTCATCATCATGTAGAAGCTAAAATAGCTGAGATCCTCTTCTGGGATCAGTGATGAACAGGGCCCATTTGGCTGCCTTCTTGGAGTACCCAGGGTAGTCACCCTTATTCCAGACCTCTTGAAGTCCAGCAACCACAGTGATAGCCTTTTGACCACAGCTCTTTTCTGTGTCACTGATGACTCTCATCTCAATATTTCCCCCACAAATTGTAAAACATTTCACAGCCCAACTTTTTCATTTTAGATATAATAGATTGTTCCTTGGTTTTGTGTCTTATGTCTCAGTTTTCTTAATTCTTCATCTCCTGTGCTGAAAAGAGTATACTCACTGAAATAAATCACATTTATTTTTCTATTGAGATTTTTATTTATTTATTTATTTTATTTATTTTTCTATTGAGGTTTTATTGAGTATTGAGATACTTCCATATCCTTGAAGTATTGGATGTACTCTAAAACCAAGGTTTGGGTTAAATACTAGCTTAGAAAGTCACATAGACCTTATTCTTTCTTTCTTCTCTTTACTCTCTCAACCCATAGTGTTCTTTTACTATTCTGTTTTCTCCTCTTGCCTTTGAGTTTATTAGCTTTCATCTGTTTTCCGGGGTTCCAGGCTGAGATTAATTACAGGAAGTGGTCTGTGAATTTGAGCTTATATATCTTAGGAAAGATAATGAGGTTGAGGGAATGAACAGGATAATGAGGAATAATAAAAGCTTAAAAAATTTTTTTTACTATTTTCATTTTCTTCTCCTTAGCGTTCCCGTCCACTCTCTGCCAGTGATGCGGAAATGAAAAACCTCGTGGGCTCAGCCCGGGAGAAAGGGCCAGGGAATTTGGGTGGTTCTGTGCTTGGTCTGTCAATGGAGGAGGTAAAGATAAGTTCATTTTAGGCTTTTGTGGGGTAACACAGGTTTTAGCAAAAAGTAGTGAGTGATTCATAATATTCATGACAAACTCATGTCTTACATTGAAAAGAGAAAGATTCAAGATGGGAGAAATGTTTTCTTAGGGAAGAACATTTTAAATGGAATTAATTTCTCCCTTCATGCTGCTTTCACATTCTTGAGTCATAAGTATCTTCCTTTGTCCTATAGCCACATGGACTCCAGTTGTCAAAATAGGTACTCATTTTATCTTATTTTTCATCTAGATCAAAGTTTTACGGAGGGTGAAGGAGGAGAATGATCGGAGAGGTGGATTTATTCGCATATTTCCTACGTCTGAGACATGGGAAATATATGGGTGAGGTGACTACCTTTTTTTTTTTTATTCTTTACCTGAGGTCTATAGAATTAGATTAATTGTGATACACTGTCATCATTGCTCCCCCCGATGATGCTTTTCTTATTTTGTTTATTTATAATATTATTAATATTACCCAACCCAAGAACTAGATTATTGACAGTAATTTAATATACCTGTGTATTATTTCTCTCTTTTACTTCCCTGCCTCCCTCCTAACTAGCTTCCTATCCCAGGGTCCGACACTGTCTTAAACTTTGTGTTTATCATTACCTTGATTTGAAAAAAAAATTGTTTTATCTATATGTATGTCTAAGCAATATACTGTTTTATTGAGATCTAGTTTACATGCAGTAAAATGCATCTATTTTAAATGTACAATTTGAAGATGATTTTTGGCAACAGTAGGCACCAGTTTAACCACTGCTACCACCAAAATGAAGATATAAAATATTTCCATCACCCTCATAGCCCTCTTTATCCCCTTTTATATTCAATCCTCCACATGACCCCAGGCTTCAGACATTATGATCTGCCTTCTGTCATTACAGTTTTTCCACAGTTCCACATAAATGGAATCATACAGTATGTACTCTTTTGTATCTGGACTCTTTTGTTCAGCATAGTGTTTTTCATATTCATATGTGTTGGTTTATGAAGAATAGTTCATTCTTTATTATTATTATATACTATTTCATTGTTTGAATATACCAGAATTAGTTGAATATACCAGAATATACCACTCATCTATTGTAGAACGTTTGGGTTGTGTTCAGTTATGGTCTCTTTTGAAGAAAGCTGCTGTGACCATTCATGTACAATTCCCAACACCTTTAAAATGTCTTTTTGTCATTTTCAGGCTTGCATTTTTCTGATGAGAAGCATACAGCAATTGTTGTCTTTGTTCTTCTATGCATAATGTCTTTTTTTCTCAGTTTGCTTTTAGAATTATCTCTTTGTAACTGATTTCCTCTTTTCTTTTCTTTCTTTTTTCTTTTCTTTCTTTTTTTTTTTTTTTTTTGGAGACAGGGTCTCACTTTGTTGCCCAGACTGGAATGCAGTGGCACAATCTTGGCTTACTGCAACCTCGGCTTTCTGGGCTTCACTTCAAGCTATCCTGCCACCTCAGCCTGCCAGGTAGCTGGGACTACAGGTGCATGCCAATGTGCATGACTCATTTTTGTATTTTTTATAGAGATGGGGTCTCCCCCTGTTGCCCAAGCTGGTCTTGAACTCCTGGGCTCAAGTGATCCATCTGCCTTGGCCTCCCAAAGTGCTGAGATTATAGGTGTGAGACACTGTGCTTGGCCACAACTGATTTTCAGCAGTTTGATTATGATGTGCCTTGGTGTCATTTTCTTCATGTTTCTTGTGCTTGGGATTCATTGAGCTTCTTCATCTATGGGTTTATAGTTTTATTCAAATTTGGAAAACTTTTGGCCTTTATTTTTTCAAATATTTTTTTCTAATGTTCTCCTTTCCTGTCTTCTTTTGAGACTCTGGTTACATGTTGACTTAGTTTATATTTTACCACAAATCTGGCTGTGCTCATGTTTTTTCAGACTTTTTTTTCTCTCTTTCTTTAGTTTGGGATGGTTTTGTATTTGTGTGTGTCTCTAAGGTCATTCATCATTTTGTCTGCAGTGCCTAATCCTCTATTAAGTGAAATTTTCATTTCAGATATTTTATTTTTCATCAGTTTTTGTGTCTCCTTTTTCTCTTTTTCGTTATATTCGTGATTTCCTTTACATTTTTGTTTACATGTTATAATATTTATAATAAATGTTTTAAAATATCTTTTTCTGTTATCTGTCATTTTGGGGTCTCTTTCTATTGACTGATTTTCATCATGTTTATGGGTCACATTTTTGTTTCTTCACATGTACAGTAATTTTTTTAATTGAATGCCAGACATTGCAAATGTTATATTGTTGAGTGTTTGGATTTTATTGTCTTCTTTAACCCCTTTTGTTTTTTGTTTTTTGTTTTTTGTTTTGGTCAGGCACTTAAGTTACTTGTAGATCAGCTTATCTTTTTCCGGTTTATTTTTAAACACTGTTATGGTTCGTTTATAGTAGCTTTTTGTCTAGACCCAGGTTAGCTCCTCCACTAAAGACTCTCTTGGGGTGTCTGTTAAATTACCCCCACGATCAGTGAGATCTTTTCATTCTGTCTGGTGGAAACTCAATTTGCAACCTCATGTGAACTCTGGGAATTATTCAGCTTACACCTTACCTTCTCCTTAATTTGTTCTTTATTCTGATAGTTGCACTTTACTCAGCCTTGTGGACTTTCACCCTATACCTAAGCAGATTTGTTTTCACCCGAAGATTCAAGGGGTCCCTCATGATGATTTTTGGATATCTTCTTCTGCACAACTTCTTCTCCAGGACATTGCTTTGAACAGTCTAGCCACTCCCTAGAAATCTGATTTCTGTTATCTCTTTTCAGAGACAGTTATGCTCTATTTGCATTTCCTCTCTTTCTATATAGTCTGGAAATTGCCTTTAGGCAGAAATGTAGGGCAGTTGTACTTCATGTATTTCCCTCTGTCAGAGATCACAGTCCTGTGCTGCCAGTTGTTTAATAAAAAATAGTTATTTTGAATAACTGGTAAACTTTTCTAGCTGTTTATGGTAGGAGAGCTTGTCCTGTAACAGTTATCCTCTCATGTATAGAAGCAGAATTCTATTGTTTTGTTTTAATCACTTTAAAACTTTTTCCTAAAAAAAAAAAAAAGACATGTTCTATGTACTCTTGCTTTTTTCATTCAGCATTTTATAATTCAGGTTCATGCTACATATATTTACAGTTCATTTTTTTCAGTGCTTTATTATATTTACTGTGTGTTTATATTGCTGTTAATTTTTCTGTTCTCCTATTGTTGAGGATTTGACTTATTTCTGGGCTTTTGCTCTTAAGGACAGCTGTGGTACAAATATTCTTGTATGTGTCTGCTGGGCATGTATCTAGGAGTGGAATTACTGGGCCTTAAAATATGTGAACCAATAAGTGGCTTGGTGTTGCTCATTTCAGATCCCTTGCTGAAGTTTTTGTATAGGCTCAGTGCCTTAAAACATGTGAATGTTCTGTTTTAAAAGATAATGCTTTAGGAAAAAAGGTAATGCTGAATTGTTTCCCAAAGTGACTGTGTAAACTATCAGCAATGTATGAGAGAGTCTGTTGATCCATATCTTCTCCAATTGCAATACTTCTTAAGTTTTGCAATTGGAGAATTGAAAGACTTCTTAAGTTTTGTCCATCTAGTGGGAGTAAAATATCTTATTTTGGTCTTGATTTGCATTTCTATGATTGCTAATAAGGTTGAGACTCTTTGTACTTGTTTATAGGCAACACACTTTCTTCCTCTGGTGACTGCATTTTAACCTAGTTGGGATGTTCGTGGTTCTAAGTACAGAGGTAGAACTTAGAAGAATAAAAGAGAAAGCCATTTTATAAAATTTGCTTGTTTTGAAAACCTAGCTGTTCATAGAGAAATCATCCTTTTATCTTTTAAAATATGCTATTCATGTAGTTATACTTTATGAAGACCTAGGAATTCAACAGAAAAATATTACATGGGTTTTCTTGAAAATTTTATATATATATATATATTTTGGAATGTTTTTTAAAAAATTTGAATTTTTGCATTTCCTGGAAAGCATATATTTTAATTAATGAAAGGGGGACCCTTTACTTTTGAGTATTTCAAGATATAGGACCTTACTTTGAGTATCTTTTTCTATGGAATCAATTTCAAATAATCTTGGGGTCTCTTAAGGAAGTCCAACAATGATACCTTTCTTTACTAGGTTGGTTTTGAACCAGTTGAGAAATAAAACAAGGACTAAAATAGATGGAAACCAAAATACTTTATTTTTTACTGATAAAGTGTAGGTTGGGGGAATTGATTATAACTGTCTGCAAGCAAATGCACTTCCTGTTAAGCTTCAGAATTGGACAGACTTATATTCCTATTGTAAGCAAGGTTGGTCTGAGCCATGTATGGAGAGTGCTGACCCTATAGGAGCAGTAGAGGATATGTATTTCCTAAGGGGGGAGTAGCTACCAAGAGAAAAAAGAGAGGTGCTCAGTACATCATTTTCTGTTTATTTTTCCTAAATTACCAATCACATTGGTAAGTTACTCTAACTCTCTTGGTGCGTTCTGAGAAAAGAGGCTCAATTAATATTCATATTAATTGAACTGCCTTTACATAGAATGTGGGAGATATGTTTATCTACTAACAATGTGCCATTTTATTAATACATATATATTATCAACAAATGTCTAGCGCTATGCTTAGTTCTTTGGCGTATAAAATAAATATCAGGTGGGATCCCTGTCGGTTGACAGTTAACAGTATGTTTATGGAAAATTACTTACACATATAATAAGAATAGCTTTATTACTTTATTCTTAATAATGTTCTTAATAACAAGAATAGCTCATATTTGTATAGCTTTTTGTAATTTTAATGCCCTTTGTATGCTTCATTGTTTCACTCACATTTTAATGACAGGGAGGGACACTAAGGCTCAGTAAAACAATGTGACTTGTCCATAACCACACAGTGAGACTTGGGTCAGATATTCTGATCTAGATCCTCCTTTTTTCCTGCTGCATCATACAGCTTTCCTAGAACAAAAAGTTTGCTCTGTATGCACAGTTTATGACAGGTCCTCAGGCATACAGTAAAGACATGGTAGGGCATATCAGGGAAGGCTTTGTACAGCAGGGTCGACTTGACCTGCTTTTTGAAAGGTGTAGTACAGTAGAAAACTCCTTATCAGCAGAGGATTATCAGCAGAGGATACCTTCCAAGAGCCCCTGTGGATGCCTGAAACTGGACGGTACCAAACACTTGACCCTTAAGCAACGTGGGTTTGAAGTAAAATTATACATGGATTTTCTTCGAACTCTGCCACCCCGAGACAGCAACTAGATCTTCTTCCTCCTCCTTACGATTTTAATATATTTTATTTTCTCTAGCATACTTATTGTAAGAATACAGTATGTAATACATATAACATGCAAAATGTGTGTTAATCCACTTTTTATGTTATCGTTAAGCCTTCTGGTAAACAGTAGGCTATTAGTAATTAACTTCTTGGGAAGCAAAAGTTATATGTGGATTTTTGACTCTGTGGCGGGGCCAGTGCCCCTAAACCTCTTGTTGTTCGAGGGTCAACTATATGTACTATGTGTTTTCCTATATATGTACCCATGATAAAGTTAAATTTATTAATTAGGCACAGGAAGATATTAACAGTAACTAATAATAAAATAGAGCAATTAAAACAATATTCTGTAATACAAGTTACGTGAATGTGGCCTCTCAAGTATCTTATTCTGTACTTACCCTTCCTTTTGTGATGATGTGAGATGATACAGTGAGATGAGATGAAGTGAGGTGAATGCCACAGGCATTGCGATGTGGTGTTAGGCTACTGTTGACTTTCTGTATTCCTGAATGTGTGCACCCATCCCTTACTTGCAGTAAATGGCTTAGAGTCCCTCATTTCAGATCCCTTGCTGAAGTCTTTGTATTGGCCCAGTGCTTTCTCGCGTGACACACTGCTGTCGCTTGTTCATGTCTTCCACCCCAAAATTTAATGTCTTTTCCACCTGAGCACTTATCATGCACTGTGGCCATCACTTTTGCAGTCTGAGGTGTGACAGCAAAACTAGCATGAATTTCTTTCGTCTTCTTCACGATATCATGGATAGAAAATTTGTTTTTATTTTAGCAGCTCCAGCGTATGATTTCTTTTTCCTTAAGTCAAGAACTTTTACCTTTTTCACCAAAAGGAAGTTCTTTACAGTTCTATTTGGCATATGCAGATTGCCAGCATCACTACTCTTGTCTGTTGGGGCCATTATTAAGTAAAATAAGGATTCTTTGAACACAAGCACTGCTAAGTGATTCATGGGCCTGGAGTGTCTACAGTGCAGAGACGCTAGACAAAGGGATGATCCACATTCCTGGTGGGAACGAGCAGAATGCATGAGATTTCATCACACTCCTCAGGACAGTGCATAATTTAAAATTTATGAGTTATCTCAGGAATTTTCCATGTAATATTTTCAGACTTTTGTTTACTGTGGGTAACTGAAACATGAAGGAGGACCACTGTATAGATGTAGAGGAGATATGGGGAGAAGGTATCCAGTCAGAGGCAAAAGATCAGTGGGAGCTATGAGAGTGTTACTGGAAAGGGGTCCCAATCCAGACCCCAAGAGAGGGTTCTTGGATCTTGTACAAGAAAGAATTCCGGTGAGTCCGTATGGTAAAGTGAAAGTAAGTTTATTAAGAAAGTAAAGGAATAAAAGAATGACTGCTCCATAGGCAGAGCAGCCCAAGGGCTGCTGGTTGCCCATTTTTATGGTTATTTCTTGATTGTATGCTAAACAAGGAGTGGATTATTCATGCCTCCCCCTTTTAGACCATATAGGGTAACTTCCTGACATTGGCGTGGCATTTGTAAACTGTCCTGGCGCGCCTGGGAGTGTAGCAGTGAGGACAACCGGAGTTCCTCTCGGTGCCGTCTTCGTTTTGGTGGGTTTTACCTGGCTTCTGTACTGCTCCCTGTTTTATCAGCAAGATGTTTATAAGCTGTATCATGTACGGACCTCCTGTCTCATCCTGTGACTTAGAATTCCTAACCATCTGGGAATGCAGCCCAGTAGGCCTCAGCCTCATTTTACCCAGCCCCTATTCAAGATGGAGTTACTCTAGTTCAAACGCCTCTGACAAGAGGATTCTAGGGAGACTTGGCTGACTCTACTGTAGGATCCGTGTCAGGCAACTGTGTGGAGAGAGTGTGAATGAATTGATGTTACAGATGATCCAACTTTTGAAACTTTGGAAGAGAAAGTATTTGCCGTTAGCAGTAGACATCTAGGAGCCACTGAAAGCTCTTAAGTTAGGGAATAGCATGATTGAAACAGTCTCTTATCTACATTTTCAGGCCCTTTATGCGTCTCCTATTCCCAGTTTCATTTGACCTATATATAAATTTTTGTTAATTTTTCTTTTATCTTTCAGTATTATTTTCTGAATTTAGCATATTATCTATTAATCAAAGAAATGCTGGTTTTTCTTTCTGTTTTCTAAATTAAATCCTCTTTTTCCTTATTCTTTTTATTCTATTTGTTTCTGTTCTAGTGTCTTACAATTTAAATTTGAGCAACCGTCTTTTCCTTTGCCACTTCACAAAGAGTATATTTCTTTAAAAACAGTATATAAGTACCCCTGTTACTTCTGTGCTTGATTCATGGTTTTATTTCTACATTTTCCTCTTGAACTAGCTTAAGAAATAACCGGTTTCTTTCTTTGCCTTTCAGGTCCTACCTCGAGCATAAGACCTCAATGAACTATATGCTGGCAACACGCCTCTTCCAGGACAGGTAGAGATTTGCTAAACTTTAAATTTAGGACTAGATCACAAGATTAAAAGAAAGTACATGTAAAAGAAGGAAAGAGACCTTATAAAAGTCTTTATGTAAAATCTCTGCTAGAAAAAAAAGTCCTGTAGAAAGGATGATATAATGACTCATTTTCCCAGAATTTATCATGAACTCTCAGCACTTTGTAACATTTCCAAAAGACAAAAATTAAACTATAACGATCTTTGAGCAATTTTAACAGATGCCTTAAACTTTATTCTTCTTTAAGGAAGGCCTTTACTCAGTGCCATTATACTTTAGATGCAGTTTTAATAGACATGATTATTTGTTTTTCTAGACCAGAAGAGATTAGAATTATCAGATTGGAAAAAGTGGAGGGGAGGTAATTCATAAAGTAAATACACTGAAACTTTTATAAGAAATGACAACTGATAATCTCAATACAAGGGAAAATAGAAGGAAATGATGGAAAACAGACATTGGAATTTAAATAGCGCAGCAATCAGGGCTGCTTAGTTCCACATACTTTTAGCCCCTGAGACATAACTGCATTGCACTATAGTTCATTAATTGATTATCAAAATAAGGCACCCTAGTTATTTAGAGAAACCTATATTATTTTGATGTAGGTTTCAAAAAAAATCCTTTTTTGAAGGATTCTTAAAATAGATACCCATATTTTAACCATCTGCAATTTCATGATCTAGTATCAGGAAATACATGGGATTTGCAATTTGTCTCTATAAATTTGTGGTAATTACGATTAAGTAATGTAGGTTCTAAAGAAAGAGATCTTTGGATTTATGTAGAAGACACAATCTCATTTCTTTATATATATAAAACCTGTGGGTTTTTCCTCCCCTCTATGAAAACTTTTACAAGGTTTCTTTTACCTTTAGAGTTTAGATACTTTACCAGGATGTGTTCTGATACGTCATTTTTCATTATTTTGGTTATGCAGTGAGTGCAGCCTTTCAGTCTTTCAGCTATGGGAAGTATTTCCCTTATCCTTTCTTTTCTCTCCTTGTGGAATTCCTGTTAGATAAATTTTGGCTATAGCCTCCATATTTCTTTACTGTTTTTATACTTTTGGTTTTGCCTCTTAGCTTTAAATTCTTGGAGATTTCTTGGATTTTGTTTTCCAAAACTAAATTGGTCTTCATATCTATATCGTTATTTATTACCCACACAGGATAGGGGTGTTTAATTTAGTTTTTTATTTTGGCAAGTGTGTTTTTAATATACAAGAACTATTTTTGCTTTTTGAATAGTTTTAGTATTTCATGGATGTAATGTCTTTTCAAATCTCTATTTTAGATTGTTTAAAGTTCCTTTCTGTTTTTTGCATTATTTTAATTCTTATGGATTAGTTGTATTTATTCATCTTATTCTTTCTAGTTTTAACTTTTATATATCTGCAAATGTATGGTGATCTCTGTCCAGTCATATTTAGAAGTAATGAACTGTTTGCTTAAGACAGGTAGTTTGCTTCACAGATTATGTAGGTCTGTTTCTGAACTGACGTGGACCCTGCGCTTGAGGCTGGATCTTTCTATACTTGGGTTTCCCAGGAAGGGGAAGGAGGGCAGAGTAGGCATTGTGGGGACCACTACATTAGCCAAAATGAGGAAGCATCTGCCTAGGAGTAGCCAAAAATAAACAATTTGAGATATAATAATACATGTGCCTCTTTGTTAACATATTGAATAGTAAGACCTAGCAGCAGATCTGATACCTACCGTAATTTCAAAGAATGATAAATACTGACATTATTTCAAAATTGTTGTAATAATTCTAAAGTAATATGAAAATAGATGCATTATTTCTTTTGGTAATGAAGTCACATTAATCCACTACTGTGGATAGTTTCCTACATTTATATGGAGGAAATGCTAAATTTCAATTAGAGGATGTAAGTTTTTTTCTTTCCAAGTTTGTATACTCCCTGCATTCTTTCTTCAGGCCCCAGTTAACAGCTCCTGCTTATGAAGCATTCTAAAAACTTTGATTAAAAAAACCATAATTTTTCCTGTTTAGCTAAGAAAAACCCTCATGATCTACCCATGCCTACCTTTTTAGCCTAATCATCACCTTTCCACACCAACTCATGGCCATTTCTACTTGCTCTTATATACATCCTTGTTCTTACAAACTCCCCTTCTTTTGGAATGGCCTTCATTCCATCCCTAAATTCTTCTAACTTTGTCCCTCCTCCTCTATCCTAGATTAGGAAGAGGTACTCCCAGCCCTTCTTTTATCCTAACTCAGTCTAATTTAGATTCCCAGATTGTATAATTGCCTATTGACTAATTTGTACTTTCCAGGTTGGCTCTTAAGAGTAGGTACTTTGTTATGTTCATCTTTGTCAGTATCAAGAACCTACCGCGTGGTAGGCACACACATGGAAACATGCACTGAAAAAAATGAGATTGTGTTTGTAGCAAGTCCTCGTATCTTCCAATAAATCTATTCACTCATCAATCTGAATTGATGTTTTCTTTCTTGCAAATCTAATTAATTTTGTTATTGTTAGAACTACTTTCAAACTAATTCTCTACTCATTTCTTTTAGGTTACTTTTGACTACCTTCCTTACCTTCTTGACTCCTCGCCAGCCTGCCCACCCTGCCCTGGCAAACAGTATCTTACATACTGTCTTACACTATGGCAGTAGCTTTAATGCTGGCTTATGTCCCGTTCACCCCACCCCACCCCCACCCCCACCCAGAGTGAAGTGTTGGTACTTACTAAAAGCTGCCCAGGTAATGATAATGTAAAGTCATGATTACAAATTACTGGAGAAAACCATTATCTGGGTGAAAAACTTAAAATCATTTTGAGACTTTCTGATGATTACCTGACAATATCAGGACATTAACATGGATAGAAAACATGGGAAAGGAAAGACAAAACATCTTGGTGAAGACTTACCTTTTCACTGGATTTTTCTTTACATGTCATCTACATTGCATTTGTCTCTACAAAAAAACCAATATCAAAACACGTTATGCGACTCTATATAATATTTTTGAAATGACAGAGTTTTAGAATGGGGAACAGATTAATGGGGCAGGGTTTAAGAGGTATGGGTAGTTATAAAAGGGCAACATAGGGGATCTTTGTGGTGATATAATCACTGAGTATCTTTTCTGTGGTGGGTAGATGAACCTACATAGGCAATAAAAGTGTACTGAATTAAAAACACATGTACATAAATGAGTACAGGTAAAACTGGGAACTTTTTTTTTTTTTTTTTTTTTTTTTTGAGACAGTGTCTCACTCTGTTGCCCAGGCTGGAGTGCAGTGATGCAATCTTGGCTCACTGCAACCTCCTTCTTCCGGGTTCAAGCAATTCTCCTGCCTCAGCCTCCCAAGCAGCTGGGATTATGGGCTCATGACACCACACGCGGCTAATTTTTGCATTTTTTAATAGAGGCAGGGTTTTGCCATGTTGGCCAAGCTGGTCTGGAACTCCTGGCCTCAAGTAATCCACTCACCTCGGCCTCCCAAAGTGCTAGAATTATAGGCGTGAGCCACTGTCCAGCTGGAAATTTTTTAAGAGTGTTAAATGAAAGGAACTTGAGAGTGTTTTAAAAGAAAAACAAAACCCTATTTTAACATGAGTAGCACTCAATTTCTGTGGTTAGAGCCCAGCCCTAGTTTAGAGACAATGGAGAGTATCTTTTTTCAGTAGAGGTTTGTTGTTGTTGTTGTTGTTTTGTTTTTTTGAGATGGAGTCTCGCTCTGTCGCCCAGGGTGGAGTGTAGTGGCACGATCTTGGCTCACTGCAACCTCCGCCTCCCAGGTTCAAGTAATTCTCCTGCCTCAGCCTCCCAAGTAGCTGGGATTACAGGCGCACACCACCAAGCCTGGCTAATTTTTTGTATTTTAGTAGAGACGGGGTTTCACCGTGTTGCCCAGGCTGGTCTCAAACTCCTGAGCTCAGGCAATCCCCCTGCTTTGGCCTCCCAAAGTGCTAGGATTACAGGTGTGAGCCAATGCGCCCAGCCTTTTAATACAGAATTTTTTTTTAATTGTGGAAAATATATTTCTGATGAGCATCCCTTTTGAACCCCGTGAGAATTGAACTTGGTTTCTTTTCCTAAAACAGTTCAATGAAAGTAGAAAGAGCACTGCAGTTTGAGACCTAAGCCAGGGGCTCAGATGTAAGCCCTTTAAGCTCTGGCCATGGCAGGTCAAAAAAGTATCTTATCCTGCTCCTTTCTATAAATGGAGCTAATTAACAACCTTCTTCACAGGGTTGTTGTGATGAATAAGCAGTTTGCTTTGTAAATAGATAAACAAATACAAGTAATTGTTATAATTTTTCTCTATAATTTGTTTGTCTTCTCTCTTGTTTTTTGTTGATGTCCCTCCAGCTCACACCACTCTACTCTTTTATGAGAATGTTCTCAATTTATCTGTCTGCTTTTCTGCAAAGATGCCCTCCTTGGCCTAATTTCATTTTGAATTTCTGTATTAAAAATTTCTGGAGTACATGTGTGTGTGAACTCAAGAGAGACTATCTGAATAGCATTCTCTAACCCAGTTGTCCTTTCTGCTTCTGTAGGGGAAACCCAAGAAGAAGCTTACTGACAGGAAGAACACGGTAATTGCCTTTTAAAAGTTGAGAAATTCTTTCCATGTGCATAATATGTGACCGTGCACAGACTAAGCATAATACCTTATATAACCATTTTTAGTTTGGTTCAGCTCGAATAGTAACATAAAATTTTTTTCTATTGAAAAAGTGTTTTGTGGCCACTTTTTACAAACTAAGTTTGAGATTTACTTCACTATAACTACAGGTATACTATTCTAACTGAAGATGGTATTCTCGTTTAGCTGTGTAAGAGAATTAATGAGATTTTGAAACTACTGTCATGTTAGATTCAAGTAAGAGTTTGTGTTTTGGCCTTGACATGCCTGAGGCACACAGCTCTGTGCCTCATGGTACAGAGGAGAACCTGTTTCTAGTTTGCCACAGAACTGAAAGTATACAAAACACCTGTGGACTTTCATTTAGGTAGAGAGCCCTTTAAAGCATAAATCTAATTTTTCTTTAAAGAAGGAATATATTATGATTGTCATTTAGTTAAGGGAAAACTGAGATAAATCAAGTTTGTAGCTTGTTTCCAAATAGAAAGTCACCCTTGGTGTGTAAGTTTTCTCTAGTTTTGAGTCGAGAAATATGCTTTGTATAACATACTGCTGTTAATTTGGAAATTGAGAAAAAAGAAAAAAATCTTAAACATTAAGAATATATGAAGATCACTGAGTTCTGTTCTTCATTTTTTGGCACTCAATTTGTATTGCCATCAATAGGGATTTTGGGCTCTGTAAAGGTAAAAGCAAATGCAAGCTGGCATATGATAGACCATATGCTGGAGCATGAAACAAGTCCTAATATATTTAAAAGGATTAAAATGATATAGAATATGTTCTTTGGCCACAATAGAATTGAATATCAATAACAATAGAAAATCTTCACATACTTGGGGATTAAACAACATTTCTAAATAATTCATGGGTCAAAGAAGAAATGATGAGGAAAATTACAAAATACTTTGAACTGAATGATAGTAAAAATATGTCAAGTTATGTGCACTACAGCTAAAGTAGTACTTTGGGGGAAATTATAAGTTTAAATGCTTACCTTAGAAAACTGAGGACTGAGATCAGGGTTCTAATGTTTAAGAAACTGAAAAAAGCAGAGTAAGTAGAAGAAAGTAGTAGAAGTAAGTAGAAGAAAGGAAAGGCAGAAATCAAATATAAAACAAACAATAAAGAATATTAACAAAATCCAAAGTGTGTTCATTGATAAGGTAGCATAATTGATAAACCCTTAGGTAGACTGATCTAGAATAAAGAGAAAAGACAGTAATTACCAATATCATCAGATAGAAAGGAGAGGATTTCACTATAGATTCAACAGACATAAAGTGGATACTAAGGTGAGGAAAAAGGTTATTAAGGCAATATTATTAGCAACTTTATTCCATTACTTTGACAACTTAGATGAAATAACAGTTCTTTGTAGTGGGGGGAATGTGGAGGCGAACACCCAAACTGATACCAGCTGAAGTAGAAATTTTGAAAAGCCCTGTATCTGTTGAGAAAATTGAATTTGTAATGAAAAACTTTCCTGTAGAGAAAACTCTGGGCTCTCTGGTTTCACTATTGAATTCTGTCAAGCATTTGAGGAATAATAGCACCAATCTTATACAGATTCTTTTAAGAATATAGGAAGGGACACTTCCCAGTTCATCTTATGATGCCAGCATGACTATGATGCCAAAACCTGACAAAGACATTAAAATAGAAGAAGAGAAAATTACAGGCTAATATCCTTCATGAACAGAGACACAAAATTTCTTAATATTAGCAAATCTAATCTGCCAGTATAAAAAGGATAATACATATGACTGAGATTTTCCCCAGTATTCCCCAGTATTGCTTAACGTTTGAAAATTAGTCATTGAAATTCACCATATTAATTACAGGGGAAAAACTAGATTTATCTTTTCATTAGATATCCCAAAAAAGCAACTGATGAAATTCAACACATATTTATGAGAAAAGCTCAGCAAATAAGAAATAGAAGGAAACTTCTTTAATTTGATAAAGGACTTACATGAAAAACCTATTGCTATCATCATATTCAGTAAAATATTGAAGGCTTTTTCTGTATGATTTGTAATAGGGCAAGATGTCCACTCATACCACTTTTATTCACATTGTACATTAGTATAGTAAAGCAAGGCAGCAAAAAAGAAATGCACACAGATTGGAAAGGAGGAAGTAAAATGTCTATTTTTGGATGACATAATCAGGTTAGTAGAAAATCCTAAGGCATCTATAACTACAAGAACACAGAAGTGAACTTAGCAAGGTCTTAGGATACAAGATTGACATACTAAAATCAATTGTATCTTAATGTACTAGTAGTAAATAATTGGAAAATGAAATTTTAAAATATATTTACAACAGCATTTGAAAATATGAAATACTTAGGAATAAATTTAACAAAACATGTTTAATACCTAACAGTAAAAACTATGAAATAATACTGAAAGAAATTTAAAAAGACCTAAATAAATGGAGAGATATACCATATTTGTCGATTAGAAGAATTAATATAGTTAAAATAGCCATTTTCCTCAAAGTGATGTAAAGATCCAGTGCAATCTCAATCATTATTCTGGTGGATTTTTTAAAAGAAACGGACCAACATTTAAAAATTTATATTCAAATACAAAGGACTCAGAATATCCAAAGTAATCTTGAAAAAGACTTAAAGTACTTGACCTAAATACTGTAATTGTACAGTATTCAAGATACTGGCAAACTGATCACATCGAAACAGAATAGAAAGCCCAGAAATAGACCCACATTTATATGGTCAAAGTAATCCAATGGTGAAAGGAAATTATTTTTTAAAAAGGGGGGTGGAACAACTGAATATCATTTTTTAAAAAATGAACCCCAACCGCTGTCTTCCATAGAAATTAGAGATGATTCATAGATATAAAAACTATTACTATAAAACCTATTGAAGAAAACATAATATCTTTGTGACTTTGGGCTTGGCTGTTTTTAGACATGACACAGAAAGCAATAAAACACAAATAGTGTTATATTTTCTCAAGATTAAAAACTTTGTTATAAGATACTGTTAGGAAGATGATTTGGCAAGCCACTGACTGAGTGGAAATACGCATCAAACGTATCTGTCAAAGGATTGATATCTAAGAACTATCAAGAACTCCCACAACTCAATAATAAAAAGACCGTCCACCCGGTTACAAAAGGGTAAAATGTTTGAACAGACCCTTCAAAAGGAAGACATATGAGTAGCCAATATGCTCATGAAAATGTGCTTAACAACATTAGTTATTAGGGAATTACAAATTAAAACCACATTATACCACTGAACATCTAGCAGAATGGCTGATACTATACTGACAATACTAAATGTCGGTAAGGATGTGGAACTAACAGAACTGTGATAAATCGTCGTTGACAGCATAAACTGGTACAGGCACTCTAGGAAGAGACTGGCAGTTTGTTAGAAATACACAAATTTCACTTTGAGATCTACACAGAAGAAAAATGGCTTGTACAAACACGTTCATAGTAGCTTTATTCGTAATGCTCCAAAACAGGAAATAACATAGGTGTCCAACAAGAGAGCAGATAACTGTGGGTTATTCGGACAGTGACCTACTGCTCAGAAGTAAAATGGGATGAATACTGATACACACATGAGTGAATCTCAAAAGCATGCTGAATGAAAGAAGCCTTACACAAAACAGTTCATACTGTATGGTTTCATTTTTGTGAAATTCTAGAACAGGCAAAACGAATACATGATGAAAACTTCACAACTGTGATTACCTTTAGGACGTTAGGGGAGGATTGAGTGGGAAGTGGCATGAGAACTTCTGAGGTGATAGTAATGTTAAGAGTTTAGGTTATAAAGCTCTAGGCATTTGTCAGAACTCATTAAGTGGACATTTAATATTTGGATATGTCACTGTACGTAACTTTTAGCTTACCAAACACAGTTCTATAAAACAATTATTGAACTCTAGATAGTAATGATATGCATGTTGAAATGTTTAGGAGCAAAATGCAGTGATGCCTCTAACTTTGAATTGCTTTAAAAACTAGATAGATTGATGTATGGATGGAGGGATGTATGATTGGATATATACGTAACGAAACAAAATATAGTAAAATGTTAATTGTAGAAACTAGGTGGTAGGTAGGTGTATGGTTGTTCACTGAGTAATTCTTTAAACTTTTGTTTAAATATTTTCAAAAAAAAAATGTTGGGGGCCGGGCGTTGTGGCTCACACCTGTAATCCCAGCACTTTGGGAGGCCGAGGCGGGTGGATCATGAGGTCAGGAGATCGAGACCATCCTGGCTAATACGGTGAAACCCCATCTCTACTAAAAATACAAAAAATTAGCCGTGCGTGGTGGCACATGCCTGTAGTCCCAGCTACCTGGGAGGCTGAGGCAGGAGAATTGCTTGAACCCAGGAGGCAGAGGTTGCAGTGAGTCGAGATGGTGCCACTGCACTCCAGCCTGGGCGACAGAGAGAGACTCCGTCTCAAAAATAAATAAATAAATAAATGAATAAATAAATAGTTGGAGAAAGTAAATGAAAAAGACGTAGCTAAAAGATAATCAACTCATTTTTAGGAAATTCAGTTGTTTATTAACCAATATTTATGGCAAGTCAGCTGTGTGCTGGACTATCTCATAAGCATCTAAGATACAGTGATACAAGACAAACATGGTCCTTGCCCTCATAGAACTATTATTCTGGCCTATCGGATTCATACTTTACCCAACATTCCCTGTCCTCCATCCCTTGTACTATTTAGGATTTATCTGTTTATCCAGGATCTCTTAGTTCCTAGTTGTTATTTTAAAGTATCTTTGGAGAAAGAGATTTGTAGTAGCTTCTCCATATCTCTGAGCTTTTAGCATTCATGTTTTCAAAAGTTTATTTTTTGAGTTTTTGTTGATAAAAAGAAATCTCTTTTTTTCCTAAAGAATGGAGTTCTTGACAATGTAGACAGTGTAATGTAGACAATATAAACTCTTGTTTTTATAATGAACAGTGCTTCATGAACGTAAACACTGGGCTTTAATTTATTAGGGTGTTAAATTAACTTCCACTCATTTAATTAGAATGACCTCAGACATTAAATTGTCTCCAACCACATTAAGTTTTTAAGAGACATGTCTTTGGAGAGAGAGTTTGTGTGTTTATGAGATAACGATGTTGGTGTTAAACTATGCCCATGTTTGTCCATACGGTTTTCAAATTTGACCAAGTTAAAAAAGAAATACAAAATTGACCAAGTTAGCCAGACATTATTAAATACATTGTTTAAATGATTTTATTTTTCTATCAGATTTATTTTATTTTCTTTATTATTGAAGTGGCTAAAAGTTTATATCTATAGCTCTCTCTCTGTGTGTGTTTGTGTGTATGTGTGTGTGTTTGTGTGTGTGTGTGTGTTTGCTCTTTGAGACTCTGATAAAATACATTTGAACTATTTTTAAAGTTCATTGATTTGCTTCCCATTTCTGCTCCCAGTGCCAGGACCTTCCTGTTTTTGGCTCTGTGTCCTACTCCGGAGACAAAGCCTCCAAAAGACTTACCATCCATTCCATCCACCCAGAAATCCCTATCAAAAAGGTCCTAAATAGACCAAATGACACAGCCTTTTTATTATACTCAGAGACTGAAAACTCCCAGAGGAGTTAGGATGATTTCTTGACCTCAAAGGGAACACACTTTGAGTTCTAGAGAGTTCAGAGCCAACCGATTCGATTTCGAGGTTGGGCGGAGAGAGTTGGCTACATGATTTCAGTCACTGATACAGATACTGCTTTTCTGACCTGGTGACCCAGAGCCCTCTCTTTGATGACTTGGTTATGGCTGTCTCTCCTGTATTTTGCTCAGTCCTTGTATAGATTGGGCCTCATATCATTCACTCCCTGATTTGTGATTTGTCTTACTTTAATGCCTAATGTATCTGGTGCCAGCCCCCTTTACACATCCCATTTCTCATTCTTGACCTGATGTATTCGGCCTTGTCCTATCTCTGCTTCTTTCCCCTGTCTGTGCCTCTGACTCTAACTCCTGACCTGTACTTAATGCCTGTAAAGTCCCTGCCACCTTGCTTTACCTTCTCCTGTAGCTAATTAGGATCTTAAAGGAGGGTGGGTGCCTTGGCATTTCCTCATGTTGGGATGCTTGAGACTTGGTGAGTCCCTAGGGCTTGGCAGTTTTTCACTAAGACACTTCTATGCGTCTTAGTCAACTCGGTGCTCCCTCGCATATTCACAGATCATCAGCCTTTCTTCCCCTCATCTGAACCTCTGCTAAATCTATATTGTTTAGATTTTATATACATTCAAAAGTATATTTATAAAATGCTGAGTAAGTTATAATGGATAGAAATGAAACAACACCATTTGCCACCACTCAACTTAAGAATTAAAATGTGGTCATTTTTAAGGTGTAAAGTGTTTTAAGCATAAGGTGTTGGGTGGCACTTTATAATCCCTGCAGTAAAGTAATAATCAGTATCACTGAATACTTAAAGGTCTTAAACATTGTCTTTAGCCACATATCTTTTTCAGAATATTTAGTAAATTCAAATGGGTCACTAGTGAGGTTTTAACGTAGATTCTAGTGTTCCTCTTTATCTGTCAAACTTTTAGAATTCACTTGAGTTACCATGTCCGGTGTGTCAGCATTACAGAATTCTGGCAAGCATAGCCTTGGAATGAAAGAGAACTTTCTGAAGGTCGTAGCTACCATGTTGCTTTTCCCCTAGAATGACTGCTGATGGAGCGCCAGAATTGAAGATAGAGAGCCTGAATTCAAAGGCCAAGCTGCATGCTGCACTTTACGAGAGGAAGCTCCTGTCTCTGGAGGTGCGAAAACGTAGACGACGGAGTAGCAGATTGAGGGCAATGAGGCCAAAATACCCAGGTACCTGCTGGTGAGCTTTCACCAAACTCCCTTATCTGGATCCTGCCAGACTGAGTTAACCAGCTGCTTACTCAGTATTTTATGAGTCAGAATCTTCCTGATCACATACACCTTTTTTGTATAGTTTTTTTCTCTGAAACTTAATTTCCACAAAGTCTTAAGTTTTTAAACCTTCCACTCTATAATATTTGTATTGAAGACTATCTGAAACACATACATTTTGGCCTTTTCTCTTATGTCAGCATCATACAAATACCTGGTACTCTAGGAATAATATTAGCCTGAGTTTAATGGAATCCTGAGCATTGCTGTTCAGGTTTTTTGTAATTAGGTAAGTTCAGTTCCTTCTTTAACATTGCTGAATGGCATATTTCAGACAAAGTGGAATTTCTTTCTCTCCCAGCTTCTACAATGCTGTAGGTCTATTTGTAATTGACTGATATACTGATTTCCTTTTTTTCTTCCCTTCCCTCCTTTGTTGAACATCTGTATCAGGCAGCATGTTAGTCACTGAGGTTTTGCTGGTAAATAAAAAAGATATGGTCTCTGTCCTCATAGAACTTACAAGGTGGTAGAGAAGGGTAATGAATAAACATAGGATACAAAGATATTCCCCTGTTCTTTATACCTCCATGAAGGGTGCTTTTTAAAAAAATCTCTTAACACACTGTAGAAATTACTAAGCCAAGGGTTTTTGGTTTTTTATTTATTTATTTTTATTTTTTGCCTTAAGTTATAAAAGAGCCATGATGAGAGTATGATGAAAAATATATACTTTAATGAAGATTATTAGTAGGTTTTAGAATATGTAAGATTAGGCCAGGCATGGTGCCTCATGCCTATAATCCTAGCACTTTAGGAGGCCGAGGTGGGCGGATCGCTTGGGCCCAGGAGTTCGAGACCAGCCTAGGCAATCTGGCAAAATCCTGTCTCTACGAAAAATACAAAAATTAGCTGGGTATGGTCACATGTGCCTATAGTCCCAACTACTTGGAAGGCTGAGGTGGGAGGACTACTTGACCCCAGGACGTTGAGCTGTAATGAGCCGAGATCCTGCCACTGCCCTCCAGCCTGGGCAACAGAGTGAGAACCTGTCACAAAAAATGATAATAAAAACAAAAATAAATAAGAGAATATATGAGATGAGAGAGTGATATGTGGTTGCTATTAATTCTGTGCCTTGTTTGTGGTTTGGTTTAGAAATGGGCTTTTACTAAAAAGAAAAAAGGAAGGTATTGGGAGAGAGGAATGTTTAATCCTTTTTTCAGCAACATTAGTGATTCTTCGCATTTAGTGATTACCCAACCAGCTGAAATGAATGTTAAAACTGAGACAGAGAGTGAAGAGGAGGAAGAAGTCGCATTAGACAATGAAGATGAAGAGCAGGAAGCTTCCCAGGAGGAGTCTGCAGGATTTCTTAGAGAAAATGAAGCCAAAGATACACCCTCATTGACAACTTTGGTAGAAAATACACCCAAAGAAAATTCCATGAAAGTTCGTGAATGGAGTAAAAAAGGTGAACGGTGCTACAAACTTGAGACTCAGGAGCTGGAGCCTAAATTTAACCTGATGCAGGTTCTTCAAGATAACGGCAATCTTAGGTAAGTATCTTTTATAATTATATTAGTAAAACTGATAACAGCTAACTTGTACTGTGTACCAGGTACTATTTTAGTGGTTTTACAGTCATTTTTCATTTAATATTTACAGAAGTCCTATGAAATAATGACTGTGATTAGACTTTGCTATCATTAAGGAAACTGAGCCTTAGAGAGGTTAGGTAACTTGTCTAAAGTAGAGCTGTGATACAAACCCGGGTCTCATTGGTTGGGCATTTGTGTCAGTCACTGAGTATAAGGTAACTGAGACAAGGAGCTCAAGCAGCTCATGGTTTAGTATCAGAGACAGAGAGCTTAGGCCATGGCCCCACTACAAACAAAGTGGTCTTAGGACATAGAAAAAGAGTGATTGGTCTGGCGTGGCAGGGCTAGAAAGGCATTATGGAGGAGGGAAAATTGGAATCAGGCCTTGACTGATGAGTAGGGTTTCAGGAGCTTTGGGAAGTGATGGTTAAGTGTGGGGGTGCTAGGTGGAGGCAATAAACACGTAGAGGTGGCCAGGCGCGGTGTCTCACACCTGTAATCCCAGCACTTTGTGAGGCCGAGGCGGTTGGATCACCTAAGATCGGGAGTTCAAGACCAGTCTGACCAATATGGAGAAACCCCCGTCTCTACTAAAAATACAAAATTAGCCGGGCGTGGTGGCACATGCCTGTAGTCCCAGCTACTAGGGAGGATGAGGCAGGAGAATTGCTTGAACCCGGGAAGTGGAGTTTGCAGTGAGCCAAGATTGTGCCATTGCCCTCCAGCCTGGGCAACAAGAGTGAAACTCTATCTTAAAAAAAAAAAAAAAAAAGACTTAAAGGTGTGATAATACAGTCATTAATTAAGTCCCTTGGTGAGTTTTTATTGAGCACCTGCCCTATGCCAAGAATTGTGCTAGGCCATTTCACATTACTATGGGGACCAAGATAGGCCTGGAGCTTACAGTCTATTGGGAAGACTGACAGTCACCAAAGAAACAAGGTCATTTCAGGTCATGAGAAATGCTGTCAGGACAATAAGATGGTGTAATGTTAGAATGTAATTGGGCAGAGTTACTTAATTGCAGTGATCTGGCATGAAGAGGTAACCTTTGAGGTAAGTCCTGAATGATGAGGAGTCAGTCCTGTGAATATTAGGAGGCAGAACATTCCCAGCAGAATAGCAAGTACAAAGGCCCAGACATCATAATGAGCTTGGTGTGTTTACAAAATACAGACTAGAAGAATTACATGGGGAGAAGAGCATGGTAAGAAATGAGACTAAAAAATTGGATGTTGTTAGATTATGAAGGGCTGTAAGAGGAGCCTGAGCTTTATTTTCTAGATGACTTTTAAGCAGATAAATGATATGATGAGATCTTGTTTTAGAAAGTAAATCGTGCTTGCATTGTGGGATAGTGAAACTAAAGGCGGGGTCCGGGGGGGGGGCGGTGAGTAAGGGACTGTTAGAATTGTCCAGAGCCAGGAAGGTGAAGGCCTTGATCAGAGTAATGGCTTTAGGAATGGAGAGAATGGGATGGACTTAGTAAAATTTGCAAAGTAAAATTGATGAGACTAAATTTTTCACATTTGGAAACTTGGCGGTGCCTTCGGTCAATATAAGGAACAGGAGTTGGTTTCATGATAAAAACAATGAGTTTGATTTAAGACGTAGTAAGGAAGTGTTCTGGGCTGATGTCCAATAGACAGGTGAAAATACAGCTTTGTTGGTCAAGGTTGAACAGGATTGTATAGTTGATAGAGAAAGTCTTCAGAATGGGTAAGATTGTTCACAAAGTTATTTGGTTCAGCAAGGATAAAAAAGAGAGAATTGAGCCCTGGGGAATACCACTGTTCAATGGGTAAGTCAGTAAAAAGATCAAGAAGTAGCAGTTAGAGCAATAGACATAACATCGGAAAGGAGTAGTATGGTAAAAGCTGCCGAATGAGCGTTTCAGGTCTGTAGAGCCTCAAACAGCCCAAGTTAGATGAATAGTGAAAAGAGACTTCTGGATTTGTGACCTAGGGCCAGCTGAGTAGGTGGAAGAGCAGTTGTGAGCAGAGAAAATAAGAAAGCAAGTGTGAAGTAACTTTCTAAGGGTTTGGCAGTGAAAGGAAGGTAAGAATGCATCAGGGAGACAGCCAGCTTAAAAAAATGGATTTTTTTTTTTCTTTTGAGAAGAGGTTCTGGAGCTTGTTTATAGACTAAGAGAAAGGATTTGAGGATAAGAGGATTAGAAATGCAGAAATGGATATATTGGTAGAGAAGAGTCCTAAAGGAAGGTGGGAAGAGGCCAGAGGAGGGAATATCTCTTCCTGTAAGTTAGAAAGAAAGTGCTATGGGATGAATGAAGTTGATGGAAGTTTAAGAGCGAGAAATTTTAGGCGTTTATGCATGATAGTTTTTATTTCTAAATTAGAGACCAGTTCTTATACTGAAAGTCTGGATTGGAGTACCATGGGATAGAGTTAAGATTTGGAACGGTGTCATGGAGAATAAGAATAGTTCTGTCAGTGGAGAATACACTAAACTCAGTCAGAAGACCTGGGCTCTGTCTATTTTAGTGCTACCAACTTGCTGTGTGGTCATAGGCAAGTCAAAGAGCTTCTCTAGGCCTCAGTTTCCTTTTCTGTCAATCCAAGGTATGGAGTTAGACAAGTGTTTTTTCAAACTTCTTCCTAGAAGGAAAAAAGATTTCACTGAATTGAAATAGAGCATTTGATAACCACTGGACTGTATTCCAAGGTCCTTTCCAGCAATAACATTCTGCTTAGTTGTTGTAGAAATAAATGATTTCTTCACGAATCTTGTGGCTCTCACTTTGAATGAGTAAACTGTTAAAATTGCAGGGTGTGTTAGTGTCAATCAGTGGTTTTCAGACTGTGTTCCCTAAAGCTGCTCATTGTTCGGTGAAGTGTCTCAGAGGCTGCTTAGGGGTTTGGGGAAGGTCCACAGCCAGGGTTCAGAACTCTAAGCATTGCCTCATTGTTGCATATCTTATATACTGGGCATATGCGTAACCTTTTGTTTTTTGAAATTGGTTTCTTTGGTGTAAATCATTCTGGTTTTCATTCTTTCATCTTTTTGGGGGGTTTGTTGCAAGTGACTAGCTGAACAATGTGTCCAATACCTTAGAGACAGTCTCAGAATTAACATTCGTGAGGTTTATAGAAATGGAAACCTCAATACTTGTTCATTTGCTTTGCAACAGTGATTCACAACAAAACAATGATTGAAGTCTCAACTTATGAGCAGTAATCCCCTTATTTAAAAGATCTTCAAGTTTTCTTATAAAGGGATTAATCAGTGGAATTGGATATTCTGCTACATTCGAAGGTGTCTGAAACATGCTATTTCTTGCTCATTATATTGTAGGTGAATTTATTGACCCAAACGGAGGATCTTTTAAGTTTATTTTGACTTGAGAATAATTTGTTGTGGAAACAAAGCTTATAGGATTGGTTCAGGACAAAGTCGTATATGTTCTCTGGGTAAACAAGAGTATAATTATTGTCTTTGAGAAACAGTTGAAAATCTACATTTATGGCCAGGCATGGTGGCTCATGCCTGTAATCCCAGTACTTTGGGAGGCTGAGGTGGGTGGATCGCCTGAGTTTGAGACCAACCTGATCAACATAGTGAAACTCCATCTTTACTAAAATACAAAAATTAGCTGGGCATGGTAGTGAGCACCTGTAATCTCAGCTACTTGGGAGGCTGAGGCGGGAGAATCGCTTGAACCTGGGAGGCAGAGGTTGCAGTGAACCGAGATCACGCCACTGCACTCCAGCCTGGGTGACAAGAGCAAAACTCTGTCTTAAAAAAAAAAAAAAAAGAAAATATAAATGTAAATGTAAATGTATTATTTCAAAACCATATTATGCTCCCGTAAAAAGCATCCCTGCTAGTAACAAAGATCTAGCCTTATTCATAGTTCATATTCTGAAGCTCTTATGTATTAAGCTCTCAAAAGCAAATCTACTCCCCAGCCTGACTCCCTTGCCCTCCAATTCTCCAACACACATGTGGAAGCTAGACTGGAGCCCTCTTATGATTTCCAGCTTACTCTATCCAAATCCTACCTCCTAACCTGGTGAAAACAGTCAGTAGAAAGCATTCAGTGATATTGCATGGGCGAGGATTGTAAACAAAGTTTGTATTGGGCCCTAATCTTCAGTGATATTATTTTGGCTACAGTGTCAGAAGGCCAATCAGCTGAAGTAACCAAAATCTTGACTGAAAGAAAACAGATCTGCCATGAATAGCAGCTGAGGTGAAAATCATCAGTGTCTCTCTGGCACTTCTGTCTTCCAGACTATAGCTCGATCAGATTTCCTTGTTTCCAGCCTAGACTACCAGGCAGAAAATAGCTGGGTTCTTTAATAATATTGCTGAGGTGCTTTTCACAAGACTTGAGGGTTTCTTTTGCCCACTGAATATCTGGGCTTGTCCTGCCTGGCCCATCAGTTTATCTATGACAAACTCTGTTGGACTTCCCTCATTTGTTCTGGACTCCAGCCATTCCATCTTGTAGTTGAGAACAGTGTGGCCTTAAATTTGGCCTTAAGAGTTCCTTTATAGGATTTATATATTTCCTGCTTTGGACACTTTTATATACTAGAAATATCAATTGCCATTGCAAAATCCACACTTTTGCACTAACTGATATGTTCTTAAGGACCTCCAAATGTAAAAAAAATTTCTCATTAATACAGTGGTTTTTGTGAAGATTCAGTACTCCTGTCTGTTCCCCCAAGAAAGTTGTTAAAAAGTTCAGAGAGGGTCAGGCACAGTGACTCAGGCCTGTATGTAATCCCAGCACTTTGGGAGGCTAAGGCAGGTGAATCACTTGAGGCCAGGAGTTCGAGACCAGTTTGGCCAACATGGTGAAACCCCGTCTCTACTAAAAATACAAAAATGAGCTGAGTGTGGTGGTGTGCATCTATAATTCCAGCTCCTCAGGTGGCTGAGGCAGAGGAATCGCATGAATGCAGCAGGATAGAGGTTGCAATGAGCCGAGATTCCACCACTACATTGCAGCCTGGGTGACAGAATGAGACCCTGTCTCAAAAAAAAAAAAAAAAAAAAAATTCCAAAGAGAAGGTTTGAGTAGGAAATTTAATTTTCTGTTCTTGTTTTTTTCCCTCATGCTAATAATGAGAAAATAAATAGGATTCTCCATCTCTGATTCTTTTAATAGGAAATTAAAAAAAAAACCCTCACGTACTGCTTAGAAGGAATCATTGTTCACAGGCTGTAAGATGGGTTCCATATTTCTTAGCCATCATAATAGAAGGATCCTCAGTCACTTTGAGAGAAGCAAGTACACATTTTGTAGGTTTACACTTCCATTGCATAACAGTATGTTGTTTTGGATTTCTATAGCAAAGTGCAGGCCCGAATAGCATTCTCTGCCTATCTCCAGCATGTTCAAATTCGCCTGATGAAAGACAGTGGAGGTCAGACGTTCAGTGCCAGTTGGGCTGCCAAAGAGGATGAACAGATGGTGAGGCTCTTCTTATTGGAACTTTTTTACTTTCCCTTTTTCTTTCTTCTTTCTGTTTTTTTTTTTTTTTTTTCTATTAAGGTAAAGTGCAATGTATTTTTCTGGTGAAAGAATTATTACATAAGAAAGTTTTTAGATTTCTTAATACTTCAACATGAAGCAAATCTTTGACCTGGAGCTATGTTCATTACACCACGTAGTGAAGGCATCAATGTATTTCATTTTGAAATTGAAATTGATTTCTTGTTGGATGTGAAGCCTTGTGCAAAGCCCTTTAAAAGAATAACAATTTGCAGTCTTTTCTCAAGCAACCTCACATATTATTAACTCTGAGGTAGGCATTATTATCCCTATTTTACAGAAGAGCAAACAAAGACCTCGAGAAGCCAAAATTCCACAGGTTGTACGTGATGAAACTGGAACTTAAACACAGATGTACATTACTTGCTCCTCCATTGGTTTCATGCATCGTAAAGCATTTATTTTCTGTCCTGAGGAGTCAGATTAGCTCTTTGAAAGTCACCACGTTATCATAGGCCCTGTCCTAGTTGTATTTTTTACTTTACTAGTTGTGACCTCGTAAGATTCTTAGATTGCTAGAATCAAACTTGCATAATCATTTTTACTGTATATCAGTCATTTGAGCATTCCTGGGATTCAGTATTCTAGGACGGTTTTGTGTGTGTGAATCAGTATGATGGGGAGCTTTAAGCTGTTTGGTAAGGTCAGAGCTTATAGAAGAAGCCACAGCCCTTCAGTTTTGTTTTTTTTTCAGACGGAGTCTCGCTCTGTTGCCCAGGCTGGAGTGCAGTGGCGCGATCTCAGCTCACTGCAACCTCTGCCTCCTGGGTTCAAGCTATTCTCCTGCCTCAGCCTCCCGGATCCAAGCTATTTTCCTGCCTCAGCCTCCCAAGTAGCTGGGATTACAGGCATGCACCACCAAGCCTGGCTAATTTTGTATTTTTAGTAGTGATGGGGTTTCTCCATGTTGGTCAGGCTGGTCTCGAACTCCTGACCTTAGGTGATCTACCCGCCTTGGCCTCCCAAAGTGCTGGGATTACAGGCATGAGCCACTGCACCCAGCCCCATATTCTTTTTAATAACAGGGATTTGTCACCAAAAGGAGAGGGGCCTTTGAGTCTGAGAGAGCTGCATTCTTTGTTCCGCTCAGTGGGGACCTTACTGTAATTTTTAGTCCTCTGCATACAAAAGGCAAGTCTTTATGCCAGGCTTATTGTAAAAACATGTTGGTTATCCCAGAAAACAACTTATGAATTTAAAGTAGCCAATGGAACCCAGAGATAAAACCTTGTGTGTTGTGAATAATCCTTCAGCCATCAGTGGAAAATGTTAGCTCTGCTCTGTCCAAGTGGAAAATTGAAACTGTCTTTTTGAGAGTCAGTTCGTCTGCTCCACTGTGAAAAAAATAATGTTTTAATATAACAGCTTAAACCACCCTATAGTAAAGACAGCAGAGTAGGACTATGAAATTCAACCCTCTGGTTATGAGGCTGTTTCATTTACGCTGGAGTGAACTGGCACCAAAGGACAATGAACCAGAATCAAATTCAAGAAGAAAAAATATAGTTTAAAAAAGAATAACCACGCAGATGCTGGCTTGGAATTCACACAGTATTTCTTTGGGGCTTTCTACAAGAATATTGGGGATCATCACTGCAAAACTTAATACCAATTCTGTGAATTCTTTCTTGAAAATATATCTAGGCTGGGTGTGGTAGCTCGTGCCTGTAATCCCAGTACTTTGGGAGGCTGAGGCAGGTGGATCAGTTGAGGTCAGGAGTTCGAAACCAGCCTGGCCAACATGGTGAAACTCCGTCTCTACTAAAACACAAAAAAATTAGCTGGGTGTGGTAGTGCGCACCTGTAGTCCCAGCTACTCGGGAGGCTGAGGCAGGGGAATCACTTGAACCTGGGAAGCGGAGGTTGCAGTGAGCCTAGATCACACCACTGCACTTCAGCCTGGGTGACAGAGCAAGATTCCATCTCAAAAAAAAAAAAAAGAAGATATATTTGTGTGTGTGTGTGTGTGTGTATGTATGTATGTATATAAAGAGAGAGAGGGGGAGAGACAGAGCGTGCAAGCCCTAGTCTTGCTTTTGAGGAAGGTAGATGTAGAGTTGGCCTCTCTGCTCCAGCTTAGGTTAGAGATTCCTTATCTCATAACTCATAGAAGGCACCTCAACAGAACGTCCCCAGATCTATCATCTGAAGGCAGTTTTATTGTGGTTTTTGGACAACAACATCTTTAAGGCTTTTGGCCTTATAAAATCTCTCTTTGAAACATTTATGATTTTATCAGTAATCTGATTGGTATCTGTTCAGATTTCAAAATCCTTTGCCTCCGTCTTCAGTGAGATGTATTCTTTCTTTCCCTTAGTAACTTTCCACTGTGCCCTCCTTGACAACCCCCAATTCTAAAAGCTCCTTTATTCTTCAGGAAGAAAAAAAGCTATGACCTTTCAAACTACTGTGATAGTTCTTTCTTTGCCTTAATCACGACACTTTTAAAGTCATTAGTTTCTACTCTTCACGTGTATTTTTCCTTACCCTTGCATTTTCTTAATGTCTTCTTGTACTCTCTTTATTAAAACTCTTTTCTTGAAATTATCCCTCAGTGGTCAGATCCAAGGCCTTGTCTTTGTAGTGGGCCTTTCCAGCTCCAGCCTCTTGGAAGCATTTGACATGGAACTCTTTCTTCAGTTGGCCTCCATGACACTATTTTCTCTTAATTTTCTTTTTTGAAATGGAATCTTGCTTTGTTGCCCAGGCTGGAGTGCAGTGGCGTGATCTTGGCTCAGTGCAACCTCCGCCTCCTGGGTTCAATTGATTCTCATACCTCAGCCTCCTGAGTAGCGGAGATTACAGGTGTGTGCCACCACATCCGGCTAATTTTTATATTTTTCGTAGAAATGGGATTTTACCATGTTGGCCAGGCTGATCTTGAACTCCTGACCTCAAGTGATCTGCCCACCTCAGCTTCCCAAAGTGCTAGGATTACAGGTGTGAGCCACCATGCCCAGCCTATTTTCTCCTGGTTTTCTATGTTTCTGATGTTTCTAACCTGGTTTTTTTTTCCTGACTCTTCCTCATCTTTTCTATCTCTAAATATGAATATTTCTGTATTTTCTGTCTTCTCACCTTTGATACTTTCATCTGCTTCCACAGTTTTAGTTTCTACTACCTGTCTTTGAATGCTACCCTTCCCTAAATAGTACTATTTGTGTATGTACTATGGTACTTTTACAACTCCTACTGTATTACATAGTTATTTACATACATACTTGATTTAAATTTTCTGATTGCCAGCTTATTTAGGGAAGGGAATAAGTGTCTTTCGGTTTTGTTTTGTCTTTCTGTATCCTTTTTATATCTAACCTGTTTGTTCTGGGTCTTGTTTGTTGAAATGTGTAATATACATCTTCTTACATCTCTGTTATATAATCCCCTTGTAGCTTGTCTTCTGTTGCTTAACACCATCCCTCCTTTTTCTTTCTCCCATGACTCTTTAATTTATAGGAGCTGGTTGTTCGTTTCCTCAAGCGAGCATCAAATAACCTCCAGCAGTCACTGAGGATGGTATTACCCAGCCGACGATTGGCACTTCTGGAACGCAGAAGAATCCTGGCCCACCAGCTGGGTGACTTTATCATCGTATACAACAAGGTAAGTCTTTTGTCTGTTAGTCTTGTGCTTTGGATTGCCATACACTGTCAGAAACAGACTGGATAGAAGCCTCCGTGCAACTGGATGGAGACCTTCTTCTGTTCTCTGGCATCACCATCCCTTGTGTATTACTGTTAGGGGAAGCAGGACCCCACACCTTAACCCAGCTGGTCTGAAAAACTATTAATTACTTCCAAAGGCCCAGTGGCCATAGATAATTCTTAATTCTTACCAAAAGGCAGATTCCATTTGAGCAGTGAGATGAATCCTAGGCTGTGTGAGTCTGCACGGTTGTTAGTGCCTGTAGAAAGTGGCAAATTGACCATTTGAGAACAAATTTGAGCTGTGGATTGAATACGATGACATATTCTTTCTTGAGCAAGTTATACTTTCATCTTTAAAACATTTTATACAGTTACAGAATTTTACAGTCAAGCCCAAGAGATACACTATTTAATGAGAATATTTTACAAAGCATTCTTCTATATCCCGGGATCTCAGAATGCATTAAAAATATGATTTTGGGTGTTTGGGTTTGGGAGGTTTGGTCAGTTTGCAGAAGGAAAAGCTGACAGAAATTTAAATGGCTTTTCTAAAGTTGCATGGAATTGTTAGTAGAATGTCAGTACACCAAACTCATAGACACAGTTTACTCCAGATCTGTTGAGAATTTTGTTATGTCTTATATAAGTGAAGAATTTATTCAATATGGAAGCTGGTATAAGAGTACCTTCCAAGATCTGTCTTTCCTAATTGGAACAAAATACTGTGTCTGTTGTCATATTGTTAAAGCTACAAGGGTGATCGTAGATATTACTAAGCTACTATAAAAAGCTCTTTAGTCAATGTGCTGTGTAAGTAGAAAGTAAAAACATGATTAAAATTTATATTCATTCTGCAACTTTTACTTGGGAATTTCACAGTGTTTTATAAAATCATGGCCAAAAGTAATATATCACATTTATATGTAGCAAAAGTACATACAAGAATTAAATGTCTTTATTATAAGGACAGATTAACTCAAGGCTATTGAAAGTACATGATGAAGTGCATATTTATTAGGAGTCAGTTTTATCTTGTTGTTTTTCTGTGGGGTTTGGGCACTGGGTAGGAAACAGAACAAATGGCTGAAAAGAAATCAAAGAAGAAAGTTGAAGAAGAAGAGGAGGATGGGGTGACTATGGAAAACTTTCAGGAGTTCATCAGACAAGCAAGGTAGAAGACATTCTTGATTAATTAAAGCTGTCTTATTCCATCTTCCATACTGCTGATTGAATACCAGCATTCCTTTGTTTCTGACACATGGATGTGAATGAAATCACTCTTAAAGCTGGATACAGTGGCACACCGCTTTAGTCCTAGTTACTTGGGAGCCTGAGGCAGGAGGATTGCTTGAGCCCAGGAATTCAAGGCCAGCTTGGGCAACATAGTGAGACCTTGTCTCTAAATGAAGAAAAAAGAAATCATTCTCAGAAGGAGAAAACATTTTATAGACTTGGCCTCTCCATATCTTAGCCAATTATGTTGCTGTTTTCATGGCTTCAGTTATCAAAACATTACTGCTGGGTAGCAGGGCTGTAGTTCTAGACAGACTTCACAGTACACATCTCTTGAAGTCACAAGAGAGCCCTTTGGAAAGTTGAAGTTAGAGGCATCTCATATTTACTGGGTCTGAATTTATCCCTGACCTACTCATGGAGTGGAAATGACCAAATTTTGCCCACATTGAATAGGTTGAGGAATTTGCAATTTCTCCACTCTGTGAGGGTTACACCTAATTTATATAAAATAGAACAAGTTCTTCATGCTCAGGGTAGCCTTTAGAAATGGAAAATCTCAGTATTCATCTCTCTATCTTGAAAAAAGTCAGCCAGGCCATTTTGTCCATTTATGTTGGCTTACAAAGGAAGAGATAACAAAGGCACTCAATTTTAAATCTTGTAAAGCTTACACTGGAGAATTTTTTTCTAAATAGAGAGATGTGCAAAACCATTAAAATAAAATAGGATAAAAAAACCATAAACCCCATTACTTAGGCTTCAACTGTCAAAGTCACAAATAGGGAGAAAATCAGTAGAAAATCTACCCTATGTTGATTTGTGAAGTTAAATGAGGTACGGGTAGGGGCTTATCAATCACCAGCATAATATGATCTTTGTTTAATACCTTTTTCAGACCTCACTATCATACGCTTTACAGCAAACAAATATATCATTTTGTAGGAGTCCATAATTGTATGATGTTACTTGTTGATATTTTTGAGTCTTAAGTAATATGATTGATAAAACAGGTATAGAAACAGTTTCTCTCATCAACATTATGAAAACAGAAAAGGATTAAAAAAAAAAAAGATAATTTTCAGGTTTATCCTAAGGATCTTCAAAATCCCTAAAATACATATTTTAAAAAACCCAGACTTTAAAAGAACACTATTTCCCAAGCAAGTCTAACTGGATACTAAAAATGAATTATATATACTGTTAACTAATTCTATAGATTTGGAGATAAAATGCACTGGAACATAATTACTTCTGAATGTGGATTGGGTATTGATTTTTGGGAAATAATGTGGTAAAGTTCTTCTTTTATTAAGTTTGGTTTGAGTACATGGATGCTTTTCAGGGCTGGTAAATTCAAATACGTGCCGGAGTCAGACAGGAAAACATAAATTATGAAGTGGGCAAAGGATGAGACAGATATAAAGCAGCTTGTATTTTGACCAGCCATAACCTTTGTCTTTCAGTATTCTGTGAAGGGCCAAATAAAACACACTGACAGGCAGAGGTTTGCAACCTCAGCTGTAGATCTTTGATAGTTACTTGAGAAACTTTTCTTGTGGCATTTGGCTACTTTGGAGACTTTGGGGTTTACGCTGAGATTCATAAAGCTGATTTCTAGGTTCTGGTTAGAGTGTGTTTTCTGAAGATGGGATATAGGTTCTCTGTGATAATGCAGGCATACTTCACTTAATAGCCACTTTTCTAGAACATAGCCAAGCTTCAAGGAAAAGAAAAGAAAAAGGCCATTGAGAAGCTGCTACAGATTAAAGTCCATGTGTGTGATATGTTCACTAGAAGAATCCACTGGCCCCTCATCTGTTTTCTTATACTTTCTATTTTGTGGCTATTCATAAAGAGCATATAATTTCAGTACTTTGAAGTGATTTAGAGATAATCTACCTTAGCCTCGTGCATTATATAGATGGTTAGGGAATTCTATGGTTATTGGTGGATTTCCTTATTTTTGACTTAGGCAATGAAAATGACAAGTGGCTCTTTAAGTGAAGATACTTCAGTTATCTAGAAGTGAACTGAACAAACTGTGAAGGGCCAGATAATAAACATTTCAGACTCTGTGGGCTGCATATGGGTGGTGGTGGTGGTGGTGGTGGTGGTGGTGGTGGTTGTTCTTGTTGTAGTTGTTGTTTTGCATATTCTTTAAATGTATTTTTTAAAATTTTTGGCTGGGGGCCATAAAAACAAGTCGCTGGTCAAGTTTAGCCTACAGTGTGTAGTTGGTTGCTGCCTGTTCTCAAACGTGGCTGTCCAATAGAACTTTTTGTGGGTGACTACTGAACACTTGAAGTGTGGCTAGTTTATGGAAAAGAATCTTTAATTTAATTTAATTTGAATTTAAATAGTCACATATGACTGACTAGTGGCTACCATATTAGACAGTGTAGATCTAGAAAATTCACTGTGGAATGAATAAAACCTTATGCTTTAAATTTTTTAGATTGCTTTCATTTATATTTTATTTTAACCACCTATTAATAGGGAATTTTCAGCTTGTGCTTTTCATTTTTCCCTTTTCCAGCTTGCTCTGTTTTCATAATAAAATCTGGTGGAAAGATTTTCCAGAATAGCTTCCTGTCTGACCATACTTTTTCTCCTCATTTCAGTGAGGCTGAACTGGAGGAGGTGTTGACTTTTTATACCCAAAAGAACAAGTCTGCTAGTGTCTTCCTGGGGACTCACTCTAAAAGTTCTAAGAACAACAACAGTTATTCTGATAGTGGGGCAAAAGGTGGTAAGTATGCTGGTTAGTTAATGAAAAATAAGAACAAGTGAGGAAATGAGAAATGCAAAGGAGAATGAGGAATGTGTTGGCTAAGCACTAATAGTCTCCAAGGTAATGAGATTTTGCAGCATGGGGAGGGGGTGGAGAATGGGGGACAGTACTTTTTGTCCTAAAAGCAGAAGAGGGGCATGGTCTGATTTTTTTTTCATGGCAATTAACAACAGAGAGCTTTTCAAGAAAAGCTAATAATAGCTGGTATTTAGTGAACACTTATCTTTCTATCTGCTGGACATGGTCTTATTTTTTACTTCCCAAAATCACATAGAGTGGGCGCTACTACAAAACCTCTTTACAGATGAGAAACTAAGCTAAAAGAGACTCAGTAACTTGCCCAGGGCTATTCTTTTTCGTGCAGGGACAAGGAATTTGATCCATAGTCTGCCTGACTCAAAGTTTGTGCTCTTAATATACTCTTCTATCTCTCTTAATGATTATTTCTGACTCTTGTCAAGTTTATTACTTTCTCTAACTTAACATCATTGGCATTTTGGACAGGAGAATTCTTTGTTGTGTCGGGCTGTTCCGTACCTGGTGGGATATCTATTATACTTGGTTCCAAGCCTGACATGCCATTAGCTTTCCTCAGCTATTGTTATAATCCAGAATGCCCCTACATGTTTCTAAAACTTCTTACTGCTGGGGAATTCCATGGTCGGGGATTTTGGAATTGAGTATGGATGTGGCTGTCTAGCTCACGTCACCATGATAAAAAAAAAAAAAAATAGCAGTGACATTCTGTTATAAACAAAGCTCTGTGCTTTAAGTGTAGTTAACTTAAAACCTAGATGGAAACCTAAGGCTTAGGTAATCAACCTACTGATTTTGTCAGTGTGCTAAGTACTAGATTCCAAGATGGAGACTTCTTCCCTGCTCTTAAGGTTATGATAACCTAATGTGGAAATAGCCAGGAAGATTGGTCATTTAAAATGTAGACTGAATTTTCCTAAAGAAACAGTGTTGATGTTTTAAAAACTGGTTTGGTTCCTAGGCCAATCCACATGAGCTTGTTTAACTGACTGTATAATTGAATTATTGTATTACTGGAAGTCCTGAATCCAGCCCTTTTCTTTGAGTTTTTCTAACGTCATTCACCTGTTCATTCATTCCTTCTATACTTCTTTTTTTACTTAGCACCTATTATGTGTTAGACACTTTCATGGTTGCTAGAGATACAATGACCAGGACTGTCACAGTCTTTAACTTTATAAAGTTTATTGTCTGGTAGATAAAGTTGGGTGAGTGAATAGAAGAAGAAAGCTGGCAGAAGCTCTGAAAAGCTCCTGTAAGAGTTTTGGCTAAGGGAGACAAAGGAATTCTTGTAATAAGGTTGGAATAGAGAAAAGTGTGCTAATTTGGGGAGGTAGGGGCCTAGATGGACATTCATCTAGTAACTTCTCCCCTGGCAGTAATGTGGAAGCCCTAACAGCATGTAGTGGCAATATCTTTTGTACTGATAGGTCATTCAACTTTCTAGGGTTTGTGTTTTAAGGGATTACCTTTACGTAAGATCCATACCTATGTAAACCTATTAAGGATAATTAGGAAACCTATTAAGGGTAGTAGGAAGGCTTCAGTCAAGGAAACAACATTATGACATTTGATAGTATAGTATCTGGACTCATTTCAAACATGAATAAACGAGTGTGTGACAGTGTTACCACTGCTATTGGCGACGGAGGGGAGAAAATTCATATGTCTTTATTCTTTCACTCTGAAAGATGATGTATAAAATGGCCTTTCTTAAGTTTTTGTATGATTCTAGCCCTTGACAAAGATTTTGGAATATTTTTATATGTAATTAGCTTTGGCTATTCTGTTTCAAAATTCTGTAGTGGAGAAAAAATTAGTTATTAATGTCAAAATTGATTAGAGTGATACTATTATTGAATATACTGATCAGCCTATCTCCAGTAAAACTGAAGAGTTTAAGAGACAGAGCCATCGTAGTATCCAGGTATTATGCCAAGAAATAGTGGGACCGCTCTTGCTGTCTCGGGGTAGCTTCGCTGCTCCATACATATTATAACTTCTTGACTCCAGGGGCTACCACCAACCAACGTGATCTCTTAGAACCCTCCGTCTGAATTCCTGGCATAAGCATCTGACCGCCCTTATTATTGTTATTATTTTTCCAGATAAGCCCTAGCTTGTTGGCTGTCTGTGGATGGCTGCCCTGGGTTTAGGTACCTTTCTCTGGTTCAGTTAACTGTAGCTGGGATTTGGAATAGCTGGGAATCATTTAATTGGTTGCCCACTCCATAGGGCTGTGGGTGTCTCCATCTTTGGAAAAATGTGATGAGATGTGCCATGTTTCCCAGCATTGATTAGCAGTTGTGTTATATTTTTGGAAATAAAATTATGTATAGAACAACGGACTTGCAATTGATTTTAGGAGAGTCCAAGCTCAGTATTTCTTATTTCAGATCACCCTGAGACTATAATGGAAGAAGCGAAAATGAAGCCGCCTAAACAGCAACAGACAACAGAAATTCACTCTGATAAATTATCTCGTGAGTGATTTCAAACCTACCTAGATTTACTGCTGTCTGATAATTCCCTAAAAGAAGAAAATAGTCATCAGATATTAAATATTTCGAAAGCATGGAACATTACCTCAAAGAAATATTTTTCTTTGTTTTTCCTTTTCCCTTAGAATTTTCTCTTATCTATTGATAAGCTGTTTTCCTTCCAAAGACTTTTTCATTTTCTTAAGTTTAGAAATTCTGAGTTTAGAAATTCTAGTTTCTGAGTGAGAAATTAGAAAAAATTCTTTTTTCCTAGAAGCTTGAAGAGAAGGGGGAGAGGAATTAGCTATTACTAGTGGAGACTTCATCTTGATGTCCTAACATGTGTAAAACATGCCTGCTCTGTTTCATAGTGGTAGTCCCAACTCCAGCTTTTAGAAAGGAATAAAAGTAAATTCCTATTTCTGTTGCCAAGTTGTTTCTGGTAGGCAAAAATCATTAAGTTTATGATGAATGCTCATTAAAGTCTGTATTTTTCATGATTCCTGTTTCATGCCAAGATTATTGTGATGTTTATGTTTTAAAAATATTTGTTTTATAGAGATTGTATGTTTGTTTTTTCTAAAATGATGTCTTGTTTTGTTTTTAATAGGATTTACCACTTCAGCAGAAAAAGAGGCAAAATTAGTTTATACCAATTCTTCGTCTGCTCCTTTCTCTGGTCCTACTGCTACTCTGCAGAAAATTCCCAACACCCATTTGTCATCTGTTACAACCTCAGACCTCTCTCCAGGGCCTGGCCACCATTCTTCTTTATCTCAAATTCCTTCAGCTATCCCCAGCATGCCTCACCAGCCAACAATTTTACTGAACAGAGTCTCTGCCAGTGCTTCTCCCTCCCTACATCCTGGGACACAGAACATCCCAAGCCCTGCTGGCCTGCCTCGCTGTCGATCAGGAAGTCACACCATTGGCTCCTTTTCTTCCTTCCAAAGTGCTGCACACATCTATAGCCAGAAACTGTCTCGTCCCTCTTCAGCAAAGGCAGGTGAGTGAGAGAACGAAAGATGGTCCACAATGTGAGCTCCTCCGCAGCCCCAATAAAGAAAGAATGTCATCTCTTCCCTTTGCCTTTTCTAAAATTTTGAAATGGAAAGGGACACACACTGCATTGTTCTGATGTGACTAAAGAAGGCGTGCATTGCATCCAGTAGCATGCATTCATTGACGCAAGAGGAAACAGGACTTCTTTTAGGTACTGGAGATAGAGAGATGAATCTGACAAGGCTTCTGCTCACTAGGAGCCTACAGCCTAGTCAAGAGATTTCCTGTTAACCATAGACCTATGAGTGTGCTCTATGCATTCTCTGTGCTTCAAATAGTTATTCCCAACATCAGACAAGTTAGTTTTTAAGACAAGAATGACTTGAATAAATAACCAAAGAATTCTTAAAATAGGATTTATCATTTTAACTGAAATAGACCTATATTGTCAAATTTGTCCTTCTTTTTTTAATGACAGCTTTATTGAGATATAATTTACATTCCATCAAATTCACCCTTTTAAAGTGTACAATTCAGTGGGGTTTTTTTTTATATATTCACAGACTTGTTCAATCAACACCACTATCTAATTTTAGAACATTTTCATCATCTCCAAAAGAAACCCCATACCTGTTAGCAGCCACTGTCTGTTTCTTCCTTCCCCTAGCCCCTGGAAACCACTGATCTACTTCTCTGTTTTTACAGATTTGTCTATTCTGGACATTTTTATATAAGTAAAATCATATAATAGGTGGTCTTTTGTGAATGGCCGCTTTCTATTCTGGACATTTTATATAAGTAAAGTCATAATAGGTGGTGTTTTGTGAATGGCTGCTTTCACTTAGCATAATGTTTTTCAGGTTCATCCGTGTTGTAGCATGAACTTCATTCCCTTTATGGCTGAATAATATTCCATTGTATGGATATACCACAATTTGTTTAGCCATTAGTCAGCTGACAGGCATTTGATTTGTTTATACCTTTTGGCCATTATGAATAATGCTGCTATGAACATTTGTTTATAAGTTTTTGTGTGGACATATGTTTTTATTTCTCTTGAGTGTATAGCTAGAGTGGAATTGTTGGTTCGTATGAAAACTTATTGTATTTCCTCTTTTTGAGGAACTTGTAAACTGTTTTCCAAAGTGATTTTGCCCTTTTACTAACAGCAATGTTTGAGGGTTCCAGTTTCTCTGTGTCCTTGCCATTACTATGAGTGATCTCTGTTTTTGATTTTCACTTCCTAATGGGTATGAAATAGTATCTCTTTTTTGTGGTCATGATTTGCATTTACCTAATGGCTAATGATGCTGAATATCTTTTCATTTGCTTATTGGGTATTTATATGTCTACTTTGGAGGGATGTCTTTTAAATTCTTTGCCCTTTCAGAAATTGGTATGTTTTCATTTTTATTGTTGAATGTAAGTGTTCTTTATATACTCTGGATAAGAGCCCTTTGTCAGATAGGATTTAGAAATATTTTTTCCCTACTTGATGGTTACCTTTTTACTTTCTGGAAGCACAAAAAATTTTAGATTTTAATAATGTCCAATTTATCTGTTTTTTTCTATTGTCACTTGTGATTTTTTTAATCTTATCTGGAATACTATTGCCTAATCAAGTGGCACAGAGATTTCCTCCTTTTTTTTTTTTTGAGACGGATTGTTGCTCTGCCGCCAGGCTGGAGTGCAGTGGCATGATCTCGGCTCACTGCAACCTCCGCCTCCAGGTTCAAGCAATTATCTTGCCTCAGCTTCCCGAGGAGCTAGAACTACAGGCACATGCCACCATGCTCAGTTAATTTTTGTAGTTTTTAGTAGAGGCGGGGTTTCACCATGTTGGCCAGGATGGTCTCGATCTCTTGACCTTGTGATCCGCCCACCTCGGCCTCCCCAAAGTGTTGAGATTGCAGGCATGAGCCACTGTGCCCAGCCCCAATTATGTTTTATAGTTTAGGCTCTTACATTTAGGTCTTTTGTCCATTTTGAGTTAATTTTTCTGTATGGTATGATGTAAGGGTCTAACTTCATTCTTCTGCATGTGGATATTCAGTTATATCAACATCATTTGTGGAAAAGAGTATTGTTTCCCCATGGGATTGTCTTGGCACTCTTCTCAAAAATCAATTAATTATAAATGTAAAGGTTTATTTTTAAGGCCTCAGTTTTATTCCATTGACCTATAAGCCTGACTTTATGCCAATATCACATTGTCTTTATTGCTACAGCATTAGAGTAAGTTTTGAAATCACCAAGGATGATTGTTCCAACTTCACTCTTCTTTTTCAAGATTGTTTAGGCTGTTCTGGATCCTTTGCATTTTCATATGAATTTTAGGATCAGCTTGTCAATTTCTTCAAGAAAAGGCAGATGGGATTTTGATAGGATTATTATCTGTGGATCAGTGTGGGGAGTATCTTAACATCAGTCAAGATTTAAACACTAGTAATAGCTATGTTAAGGTGAGTTACAGCTAAGACATGTTTTATAAATAGCCAGTCTATATTTCTTAATACCTGATTTCAAATGAAATGGATATTTTAATAGACAGCTTGAGTCAGAGATATTAAATGGTCCGCTTTAATAAGTCATAAATATGACTATACACATATGTATATATCTCTGCTAATTCTGGGTAATCATTGTTGTTGTGATTTAATTTTCTAAAATCAGTAATAATAATGATCAGTAATGTTCTGGTTTGAACTGTTTTTTCCCCATGTGAGAAATTCAGTAAGATCAATGTCTTCGGTGGCCTGTGTTATCAGAAAAACTTTTTCAAAACCCTCCCTTTTGATCCTTTCCAAGAAAAGGATAGGGAGCAAAAGAAGTTGGTCAGTTCATAAATATTTTCTGATATCTGTTGCAATTTCTTTTTTGACTCTTGGATTATTTATAAATATATTATTTAATTTTCAGGTAGTTGGGATTCTTTATTTTTATAATTGGTTTGTAGCTTATTTCCACTGTAGTCAGAGAACATTTTCTGAATGGATTAAACAGTAGTAGACGGCAATATACGGACAAAAAAATGTAATTTACAACAGCCTGTAATTGATTGGAGTTAAATTTTTCTGTGGTAATTGAATGCTTTTGGAATAAGAGTAAGATTTTATTTTACTATAGACTTTTTAAAGTTAAATATACAGCGTCAAATTTCAAAGGTCATCACTAAAAGAATAAAAGTATAAATTCTAATCTTATGGGGAGAAGAAAAATGAATTGCGGATAAAAAACATGCAGAAACTTAGGTGTATGCAAGCAAGAAGCATAGAAAAAGCAAGATAAATAGAAATTTAAAACATAGTAAATTGGCCGGGCACAGTAGCTTACGCCTATAATCCCAGCACTTTCAGAGGCCGAGATGGGCAGATCGCTTGAGGTCAGGAGTTCAAGACCAGCCTGGCCAACATGGTAAAACCCAACCTCTACTAAAAATACAAAAATCAGCCAGGCGTGGTGGCTCCGGCCTGTAGTCCCAGCTACTCAAGAGGTTGAGGCAAGAGAATCACTTGAACCCAGGAGGCAGAGGTTGCAGTGAGCCAAGATCACGCCACTGTACTCCAGCCTAGGCAAGAGAGCAAGACTCTGTGTCTAACTACTAAAAACAAAACAAAAAACCTGGTAAATCAAGTCCAAATATATCAAGAATCAAATAAACATAAATAGGTTAAACTTGACAGATTTTTAAAGTTAAAGAAAAATCCAACTATATGCTGCTTACCAGAGGCACACCTAAGTTTAAGGACACAGAATGTTTAAAAGTAAAAAATTGAAGGAAGAAACACCAGATAAGTACCAACCAGAAGAAAGCTGGTATGGTTGCATTAATGCGTGCTAAAACAGGCTTGAAGATATAAAACTTTCTTACAGATAAGGAGTAACTACATAATGACAAAAAGTTCAGTTCAGTCAAAAGTTGAACAATTCTAAAAGTATCTGCAAATAATAAAATAGCCTCCAAATATGTAACACAAAAATGGAAACAACCACATGAAGAATGTATAAATCCACTGTCTTAGTGGGTGATTTCCACATACTTCTATTAATTATTAATACACTAAACAGATTTTTAAAATGCAGAAAAGATAAAGAGGATTTGAACAAGGAGATAAGTTTATTTATTTATAATATATAGGACTGTGCACCCAATAATTAGACAAAACACCTCAAGCATACATGATATATTTATAAAAATCTGTCATATCCTACATCATAAACAAGAGAACAAATTGCAGAGACTTGGTATCACACAGCCACATTCTTTGTCCACACTGCAATTAAGTTGAAAGCCAGTAACAAAAAGATATAGAAGAAACCCCCATGTATTTCAAAATTTAAGAGTCAAAGAATAAATCCTAATGGAAGTAAATTATTAAGTATTAGAACTGAATGATAATGAAAAGTTGTATGTCCAAATAAGTAGAGAGCAATGCAAATTAGTATTTGAAGGGAAATTTACTGGCTTAAATAATTATAGTTGGTGTGCACCTGTAGTCCCAGCTCCCTGGGAGGCTGAGGCAGGAGGATTCCTAGAGCACAGGAGTTTGAGACCAGTCTGGGCAACATAGCGAGATCCCATCTCTAAGAATAAATAAATAAGTAAATAAATAAATAAATAAAAACTTATATTTGAAAAGAAGACAGGCTGGAAATTAATGTGCTAAATGTCTGGCTTTAGACATTATAAAAACAAGTATCATAAATCTAAAGGATAAAGAAATAATAAAGAAGACATGGGTAAATAATATAAGGAATAGAAAAGCACACATAGAAAATATAAATACACCCAAAATGACAAAAATAATCTTGTTAACTTTATTCCAATAAAATCGAAAGCTTACATAAAATGGACCAAACTCATACAAACTATAACTTATGTAAAATTGACTCAAGAAGGTGAAGAAAGTCTGAATAGTCCTATAAGCATTAAAATAAGTGATACAGTAGTTGAAAGTCTTAAAGAAAACATAAGGCCTAGATTTATGGGTAAGTTCTAATCTTTCAAGAGGTAGATAATTTTAATATATTTAAAAAAACTCTTCTGGAGTGTGGAAAAAGAGATACTTTTCCTCAAGTTATTCTGTATGGCTAGTTTTATCTTAATAATAGAACCAGTTAAGGAAAGTATTAAAAAGGAAAATTACAGACTGGCTTTGTTTATGAACATAAATGCAAAAATTTGAATCAAAATAAAAGCCAATCAACTCTAGCAACATCTAAAAGAAATAGTACACCATGAGCAAGTTTATTCAAGGAATGTAAGAGGGGTTTAACGTTAGTAAACCTATAAATATCTTTCACCATATTAATATAATAGATTAAAGAAAAAACCATATTCTTCGTCATGGTACATGCAGAAAAAAATTTGATAAAATTCTGCACTCATTCATGATGATAACTCTCAGCTCATTAGGAAGAGGAGACTCCCTTAACCTGTAAAAGGGTATCTGCCAAAAACCTACTAGAGCTATCAGTCTAAATAAGGAAACGTTGAAAGCATTCTCTTTAACATTAAGAACAAGTAAGGATGCCCACTAATATTCCTTCTGTCCAGTGTTTTACTAGAGATCAGAACCAACATAGTAAGATAAGAAAAAGAAATTATAAGCATAAGGATCATCACTTCTTGGCCTTTTGGTTAAGATCAAGTGTAAGCATAAGCATCAAAAAAGAGGAAACAAAATTGTATAATTGCAGATAATATATTGTCTACATAGAAAACAAAATAATTACAGATACATTTTAGAAATAGTTATTTAAGCATAAGATTAATATTAAAAAGTTAATTGCTTTCAAAATTACTTGCCAGAAGTGATAGAAAACAATTTTTTTGATTGTAACAAAATGTAAATAGCATATAATTTACCATTTGAACTATTTTAAGTTCAGTGGCATTCAGTACAGTCACATTATTTTACAGCCATCACCACCAATAAAAATGTTTTTAAAAATATCACTAATAATAGCATAAAAGCTGTGTCACCTAGGAATACATTTAGAAAAGAAAGGAAGTTTTATAAGACTACATTGAAAGACATAGATGTTAGAGATTAACAAAAATTTAAATAAATAAATGAAAATTTAAATAATTGAATTTAAATAAATATACCACGTACATGCATAGGAAGACTCAATATCATCAAAGTTTCCATTTTCATCACATTAATCTCTGTATTCAATACATTTCCTACCAAAATCTCAATAAGTGTGTCATTGAATTTGGTAAGCCTATTCTAAAATGATAATAGAAAGGCAAAGAGCCAAGAATAGTGAGAACCTACTGAAAAAGAAAAACAAGGTGGAGGAGCACCTTATTAATATAAAGGTCTGATACTTAAGACAATGTGGTATTGGCAAATGTGTAGACAGATTGACCAGTGGAACAGAATAGAAAGTTAGAAATAATCACACAGGAAGATGGAACTTTGATATATGACAGAGATGGCATTGTAGATCAGAGGAAAGGGAGAGATTTCTCAATAAATGCTTCTGGGGTTGGTTGTTGGTTATCCCCACAGAGAAAGATGAAATTAGATCCCTGCCTCACACCATGTATAAAATCAATTTCAGATGTAAAACTTCCATAATGAAATAAAATAATAAAATAAAGGAAACCATCATTAAGAACTTATGGTATGGAGCAAAAGTAAAAACAAAAGCACAAGTCATATAAGTCAATAAGAAAAAGATAGCCCAATAGAAAAATGATACCAGAAAAGAGGTAACATGTTCAACATCATTATTAATCAGGTACATGAAGACTACAATGGGAATTATTAAGACACTTGACAATACTAAGTGTTGAAGAGGCTATAGATCAACAGGAATTTTCTTTCTTTTTTAAATTTGAGACAGGGTCTCACTCTGTTACCCATGCTGGAGTTTAGTGGTGCAATCATGGCTCACTGCCACCTTGACCTCCCAGGGCTTAAGCAATCCTCACACCAGTCTCCTGAATAACTGGGACTCTAGGCCCATGTCCCACACCCAGCTAATTTTTTGTGGAGAAGAGATCTCACTTTGCTGCCTAGTCTGGTCTCAAACTTCTGTGCTGAAGTGGTCCTCCTGCCTCAGCCTCCCAAAGTGCTGGGATTACAGGTGTGAGCCACCGTTCCCGGCCCAGGGATGTTTTTCTTTTGTTTGTCGGAGTGTAAAAAAGTATCACTTTGGGGCCGGGTGGGGTGGCTCACACTTGTAATCCCAGCACTTTGAGAGGCCAAGGCGGACCGATCACAAGGTTGGGAGATTGAGACCATCCTGGCTAACACTGTGAAATCCCGTCTCTACTAAAAATAAAAAATAAAAAATAAAAAAATTAGCTGGGCATGGTGGCGGGCACCTGTAGTCCCAGCTACTTGGGAGACTGAGGCGGGAGAATGTCGTGAACCCAGGAGGCAGAGCTTGCAGTGAGCCGAGATCACACCACTGCACTCCAGCTTGGGTGACAGAGCAAGACTCTGTCTCAAAAAAACAAAACAAAACAAAACAAAAAACCACTTTGGTATTACTACATAAACTTGAAAATTTACATACTTTGTGACCCAACAATTCCTCTCCTGGGCATATACAAGAGGAGCTCTTCTACATGTGTGCCAGCAGATGTATGCAAGAGTGTTTATGGCTGCATTGTTTATAATGGCAGTATGCTTTCAATAACCACAAGAGCCATTGATAGGGGAATAGAAAAATAAGTTGTCGTGTGTTTACAAAATGGAATGCCAGACAGGAAGGAAAATGAATGATTTTCAGCTATATTTAGCTAGGATAAATCTTGGAAGAGTAGTGTTGAATAACAGAGCAAGTCCCAGGAAATATCTATAGTAGGATACCATTTTTGTAGATCTCAAAGACAAGCAAAGTTTTCTGGTATTTTGTTTGTATATGTATATGCACACAAATATATTTGATAAAACTTTTTGTTTTTAAAAAAAGAATGATTGATAAGGGGAGATTAGGAATGGGGAGGAACAAGCACATAGGTTAGTGCATATTGTTGATAATGTAATTCCTAAGTTGGGTATTAAGCTCACAGGTGTTCATTACAATATGCTTATAACTATATATACAGCTATTATAAATATTTTGTATGTACTAAATAATACAGTAAACATGAAAAAGTTACAGATTTAGAAAGTCAGTTGTATATGCAGAATGATCACTGTTAGCGTTAATTTTAAAAAGACAGAAAGGAAATAGGTTATGTTATTTCTACTTTTCTGAGTTTAAAAATTTTTTTCAAAGAGGTGACTTTTACAATCAGGGAAAATGTGAATTTTTATATTATTTTATTTTTAGAGACGGGTTCTCTTTCTGTCACACAGGCTGGAGTGCAGTGGCATGATCATAGTTCACTGTAACCTTGAACTCCTGGGCTTAAGCGATCCTCCTGCCTCAGCCTCCCAAGTAACTAGGACTACAAGCATGAGCCACCGTGCTCAGCTGAATCTTGATTTTAAGTATTTTTTTGCCAGAATTTCAATGCTTAAATAATAGAATGCTGTGATATTACAGTTGAAAGAAGAAAATTTAAATCTGAAAGGGAAATCAGCCGTTTGAAAATACAAGGTTATTGTTATTTTTCTCATTATACTCCATTTTGCTTTTATCCCCGTTTCCCTTTTGAGCTTTCTATTATGGATGATTTGACAGTGGATGCCACAGACTGTTGACAAGTATAGTTACATAACAAGAAAAACAAATAAGAATTATAATGAGTTTCAAAGATGTATTTTTTATTCAGTAAGATTAGCAAATTCTAGGATTGGTTATTCCCCATTACATGTAATGAAAATTATTCTTTGTGAAACTTTCATTATAAGCAAAAACACATTAATAAATAATGCATGTGGCAGTTTGGTAATAGGAAGAGTTTCTAGGTTATGGTAACCATTTATTTTTGTGATCATTTGAAGATGGCTTATTTCTCCTATATTATTAAAGATCCCTAGGGTTCAGTAAAGTATCTGTTGACCTGAGATTTCTGTCATTATCCTATTTTTTTTTCAGGGCTTTGTTTCCTAAATGAGTGAAAACTTTTCTCCATTTTAGCAGGATCGTGCTATCTAAACAAGCATCATTCAGGAATAGCCAAAACACAAAAAGAGGGAGAAGATGCTTCTTTGTATAGCAAACGATACAACCAAAGTATGGTTACAGCTGAACTTCAGCGGCTAGCTGAGAAGCAGGCAGCGAGACAGTATTCTCCATCCAGCCACATCAACCTCCTCACCCAGCAGGTACGGATGGTCTGGGGTGCCCAAGAGCTCTTTGGACCTGAGGATAGAATTAGTGACAGGGTACTTTGTCTTTCCCTGTCTTTACTATTCCCATATACTGATGCCTCTTGAATGAGTAATATTAATAGTTAGTTTCAAGCTAAAGGATCAAGTGTTTCCTCTTCAAATTTAAAGAAAATAACTTTCTGTTACAGGCGTTGTGAAGTAAGAAAGTCTGCTACTGGATATGATGTACCTATTTCATGGATAAACAGACTTGAATGTTCATCTGTAAATATAATTTTAAAGGATCTTTAAAAATAAGTTCTTTTCTTTGGTAAAATTTTCCACTGAGTTCTAGTCTTATAAATCTTTTTACCAGAATTTTATAACATTACCCTTAAAAAAATTTTTTTTTCTGTACTGCCTTTTATTTCATGATCTCAGGATGTTTTATGGGTAACTGATTAATTTCATATTTTATTATACTCTTATCCAATATAATATCATTCTCCCCATTTTACAGATGGGAGGACCTGAGGCTGAAAGAAGTTATGTGATCAAGGTCATTCAACAAGCTGGGTGGATAGAAATAAATAACAGGATATTGTCCTTATGCTATATAGATATTAACAATCTTGCAACACAGTGAAGGTAGATGGCACTTTCAAGAGCTTTGTGAGTTCTCTTTGTACTTCTTGCTGGTTATCCCTGTGGTGTTTAATTGAAGGAAAAGCCATATCTCTTATTCTTTAATGCTAAATGGCATCAAAGTCCTCTAAAGGAATTATCGTAATTTAACTCCACAGTTATATTTTGTTATGTTGCTGATGTGCCAAATTCCTTAATTGGTAGTAACTCTGTAGTGATAATCAAGTCTCGAAAAAAGTGAAGCTGAAAATTACTTTAAGTACATGCTAAAAGTAGGCAACACACTGCTCCCTGGTGGTACGCTACTTCTCTGTATAAAATTTAGGACCAAAACTAAAGCTAAGCGTCTCATGGACTTAGTTTTACTTCAGCCTCATCCCAGCATGTGAAGCAGTAATTATTGTCTTTCTCAAATCCTTAGTTGTTTGAAGGGAGTAAAGAAGTCCTAATGTGAAATAGGAAGCAAAGAACACTACAAGAACAATGTTGATTCTTGGAGGGAGTTGGATAGTTAGATTTTAGTGACAGAATGATGGGAAGAGGGAATGGGATACCAAGATACGATGGGAAGGAATTTTCCAATTAAGTGGCTATGAGACGGGAAAGGCCAGCACTCTGCTACACTTTTATCATTGGGTCACTAACTAGATTATATGTTTCCAGTTTATAAATGGACAGCTAGGAGCACCAAGACATTCAGATTTTGTGATTGTAGTAAAAAAAAAAAAAAAAAAAATAGTGCTTACCTATTTCTAGCTCCTGTCGTTTGCTAGACTGCAAAGCCTACAAAGTGAAAAGATCCTAATCTTGTGGGAATCCAAGGTGACTGTATCCTGACTGGGAAGTCATCCCCCTTCAGTTCATTTTTTTTGTCTATAAAGAACTTCAGTGCCAGTGAGTTAAAAGTCCAATAGACTGGTTTGTAGGGATATGAACTTGCCATTAGATGTCAGTGTTAACTTTTAGAGTCTTGGTAGTAGGGTGGTCAGTGCTTGGTACAGTACTGAGGGAGGTGCTGTAGGATGTAATAAGCAGGATGGAGTAGTGGAGAACGAGCTGGATTAGCCATCCACAGACTTGCCACTGACTCCTGTGTGATCTTGAGCAATTCACTCCATTGTTATTCTGACACTGACTCCTGTATGATCTTTGACAGTTCATGCCACTGTTCTGCCACTGATTAGCTGTGTGATCTTGGATAGTTCACTCAACTCTTCTCCTGACACTGACTGGCTGTGTAATCTTGGACAGTTCACTGTACTCTTCTCCTGACACTGACAAGCTATATGATCTTGGGCAATTCACTCCACTGTTCTCCTGCCACTGACTAGCTGTGTGATCTTGAGCAGTTCACTCAACTTTTCTTAACCTCAGGGTCTTCATTGATTGATGAGGAAAATACAACAGGGTCATGAGGATATTATGCAAAACCTGTACATGCAATATATGTGGAAAATATTGTTATTTCAGCCATAAAAGGCTTTCAGTAGTAAATGGCTTCTAATTTGGTTAGAAACAAGTTTTTAGATGAAGTGTACTTTTTAGTAGTTTTTCAAAAATTATTGTGGATACATAGTAGATGTATATATTTATGGGGTGCATACGATTTTTTTGATTTCAGTAGGTTTTTTTGGGGAATCAGAGGTGTTTGGTTACATGGATAAACTCTTTAGTGGTGATTTCCAAGATTTTGGTGCACCTATCACCCAAGTAGTGTACAGTGTAACCAATGTGCAGTCTTTTATTCCTCGCCCTCCTCCCACCCTTCCCCTCAGTTCCCAAAGTCCATTATATAATTCTTGTGCCTTTGTGTCCTCATAGCTTAGCTCCTACTTATAAGTGAGAACATATGATGTGTAGTTTTCCATTCCTGAGTTACCTCACTTAGAATAATGGGCTCCAGCTCCCTCCAGGTTGCTGCGAATACCATTATTTTGTTCCTTTTTATGAATGAGTAGTATTCCATGGTGTATATGTATACACACCACATTTTCTTTATCTACTCATTGATTGATAGACATTAGGCTGGTTCCATATTTTTGCAGTTGCAAATTGTGTTGCTATAAATATTCATGTGCAAGTATCTTTTTCATATAATGACTTCTTTTCCTCTGGGTGGATACCAGTAGTGGGATTACTGGATCAAATGGTAGATCTACTTTTAGTTCTTTAAGGAATCTCCATACTGTTTTCCATAATGATTGTACTAGTTTACATTCCCACCAACAGTGTAAAAGTGTTCCCTTTTCACCACTTCCATGTCAGCATCTATTATTTTTTGATTTTTTATGGCCATTCTTGCAGGAGTAAGGTAGTATTGCATTGTGATTTTGATTTGCATTTCCCTGATAATTAGTGATGTTGAACATTTTTTCATATGTTTGTTGGATATTTGTGTATCTTTTTTTGAGAATTGTCTATTCATGTCCTTAGCCTTTTTGATAGGATTGTTTTTTTCTTGCTGATTTTTTTTTTTTTAGTTCCTTGTAGATTCTGGCTATTAGTCCTTTGTCGGATGCACAGTTTATGAAGATTTTCTCCCACTGTGTGGGTTGTCTGTTTACTCTGCTGATTATTTCTTTTGCCTGCAGAAACTTTTTAGTTTAATTAAATTCTATCTATTTATCTTTGTTTTTGTTGCATTTGCTTTTGGGTTCTTGGCCATGAGGTCTTTGCCTAAGCCAATGTCTAGAAGGGTTTTTCTGATGTTATCTTCTAGAATTTTTATGGTTTCAGGTCTTAGATTTAAGTCTTTCATCTATCTTGAGTTGATTTTTGTATAAGGTGAGAGATGAGGATCCAGTTTCATTCTTCTACATGTGGCTTGCCAGTTATCCCAGCACCATTTGTTGAATGGGGTGTCCTTTCCTCAAGTTATGTTTTTGTTTGCTTTGTCAAAGATCAGTTGGCTGTTAAGTATTTGACTTTATTTCTGGGTTCTCTATTCTGTTCTATTGGTCTATGTGCCTGTTTTTATGCAAGTACCATGCTGTTTTGGTAACTATATCCTTGTGGTATAGTTTGAATTTGGGTAATGTGATGCCTCTAGATTTGTTCTTTTTGCTTAGTCGTGTTTTGACTATGCAGGCTCTTTTTTGGTTCCATATGAATTTCAGGATTGTTTTTTCTAGTTCTGTGAAGAATGATGATGTATTAAATTGTTGAATTTGTAGATTGCTTTTGGCAGTGTGATCATTTTCACAATATTGATTCTACCCATCCATGAGCATGGGATGTGTTTCCATTTGTTTGTGTTATCTATGATTTCTTTTAGCAGTGTTTTGTAGTTTTCCTTGTAGAGGTCTTTCATGTCCTTGGTTAGGTATATTCCTAAGTATTTTATTTTATTTTTTGTAGCTGTTGTAAAAGGTGTTAAATTCTTTATTTGATTCTCAGCTTGGTGGCTGTTGGTGTATAGCAGTGCTACTGATTTGTGTACATTGATTTTGTATCCTGAAACTTTACTGAATTTATTAGATCTAGGAGCTTTTTGGATGAGCCTTTATGGTTTTCTAGGTATATGATCATATTGGCAAACAGCAACAGTTTGACTTCTTCTTTAATGATTTGAACGCCCTTTATTTCTCTTGTCTGATTGCTTTGGCTAGGACTTCTAGAACTATGTTGAATAGAAGTGGTGAAATGGGCATTCTTGTCTTGTTCCAGTTTTCAAGGGGAATATATTCAACTTTTCCACATTCGGTATAATGTTGGCTGTGGGTTTGTCATAGATGGCTTTTATTACCCTAAGGTGTGTCCATTTTATGCCGATTTTGCTGAGGGTTTTAATCATGAAGGGGTGCTGGATTTTGTTAGATGCTTTTTCTGTGTCTATTGACATGACCGTGTGATTTTTGTCTTTGATTCTGTTTATGTGGTATATCACATTTATTGACTTGCGTATGTTAAACCATGCCTGCATCCCTGGTATGAAACCCACTTGATTATGGGGGATTATCTTTTTGATATTCTGTTGGATTAGGTTAGTGGCAGAAACCACAATTACTTGTGCACCAACCTAGAATTTTGTTTGGGATTTTTGCATCTGTATTCATCAAACAGATTGGTCTGTAGTTTTCTTTTTTTGTTAATGTCCTTTCCTGATTTTGGTATTAGAGTGTTACTGGCTTTATAGAATTATTTAGGGAGGATTCTCTTTTTCTCTGACTTTTGGAATAGTTTCAGTAAGATTCGTCTCAGTTCTTCTTGAATGCCTGATGGAATTCAGCTGTGAATCCATCTGGTCCTGGGCTTTTTTTAATTGGCAATTTTTAAATTACCATTTCAATCTTGCTGCTTGTTATTATCTGTTCAGAGTTTCTATTTCTTCCTGGTTTAGTCTAGAAGGGTTGTATATTTCCAGGAATTTA